GGCTGCAGTGTTGTTGCTCTCCCAGCACAACAAACCTTTGCTCTAGTCCTCCTGTGCTAGTCCACGCACGCACGTGACGTCGTACGTCGCCCCACCCACCCAGTAAACCACCTTGCGTATGGAAGTATGGCGGCCCCAGCTACAGAACTACTACTCGGCCAAAGTTTACTGCTGCGATTTTCACGTGAAAGCTATGAATAAGTACGAGAGCCAGGGGTTCGGTAACGAAGAGCTCGGCGACTGTGAACAGAGGAAAGGACTTGTAAAAAGAGTCGTCGCTCTCTGCCCGGCTGCGTTGCCTCGATTTGCCTTGATTGAAGTGCCTTTTAGTCCGGGTACCGCAGTGGAAGAAACTCCGCAAGACGTGAAAAGTGGACACGGAAGTTTGAAACCAACTGTGGCTTTGGAAAGACCAGCTGCAAAGTGTTGAAAGGGTGGCGGTCAAATCATGTTTTTGTGAGACGTTTAAGTGCACTTGTCGGCGGTTTCCCTACCAGCGAGCCAGCGACAGCCAACTGTTGCCTGCTTGGTGTGCATTTAAGGGTCTGGCGCTGCGTACCACCAGCAGACGTTGGTTAGCTTTCATGGCTATCTCCAACATTAGCTTAAGGTCGCCAGCTAACAAATCATATATATGTTTCTGTGACCGTGTAAGTTTCTGTAAACACTTGTTTTTACTCCCCACGGCGTTCGTAACTAGAGCAAAAGTTTGCTTTATCTGGCACATTTACTTCAGTGCCTGTTACTGATGATTAAATGATCTTTTTTATCATTTTTATTTTTTTTAAACTTTGGTATTCCAATAAAATAAGGGCAGTATTGTTATGGCTATCAATACTTGCTACTTTTCTTGCTTTTTCTCTCCGTGACTAGTTTTTAAGTCTAACACTTGGTAGTTTTTTTTTTGCATATCTATAATAGAATAAAATAGAATAGCCCTTTATTGTCATTGTACAATTAGTGCTCCACACCAACTGTGCGGAATAAAATGTAAATGGTAGATAGCAGGAATAAATATGAGTGTATCTTAACCTAGATTAGGGGTTTTAATAGCTATCTTTTTTATTTAAAGAGCCTTGAGGCAACTGATATTGTGTTTGGCGCTATATAGATAAAACTGAATTGAATAGACGGGCATTAAAATTAGAAAATTTAGCTGACGTTTAGGTTATATGCAACAGGGAAAAACTAATTTGTATAGAAAAGGAAACACCTGACATCACAATTAAAGTGGAACACAATAAAACTAAATGAGCAGTTAAGATTAGCTTGTGGTTTGTTATTTGGCACATAAACTACCAGTCAAATTAGTTCTTGTTTTATTTTGACTTTAGGGTCATATATCTTTGTGTTAAATGAAATCATCACTGAATCTTGTTTTATTTGTCTCTAGATCGCTGTGAAATGTCCTGTAAAGCACTCACACTCCATTAATGCATGATAAACAGAGACATACTGGAGCATCACTGATTTGTGCTGGTGACCTCCATCACCTAAATTCTGGGAGGGGAGTGCCCGAGCCAGGGGAACGGATTCTTTTCTTTTCCCAATCTCCTCTTTTCCTGGTGGGCAACTGAGTCCAGCTTGGACAGTCCCGGCTGCGGCCTGGCACCCTGCCCTTATGGGGCAGCAGCCGGGGAAGCTTGTAGGGGACCAGAGGAGACCCAGTTTGCCGGCCTTCATCAAGGGCTCGAAGAAGGAATCATCACGCCATGGGAACCAGCCCTGTAATGTTTTTGCTGTGCACGGTAAGATCAAATGTTTTTGTCACTTATTACGTTGACAGCAAATGGCTTTCCTAAAGTATAATAAATTTGCTCAGTAGGGGAAATTCTTGATTGTTGAAGTGTGCATGTGTGCATTTTGAAGCTTTTTTTTTTTTTTTTTTTTTTTTTGAATATCTTGTGTGGGCATTGGCCTGAAATCAAGCACAAAAAAATTCATTGTTATTTTTGACTCTGCCTGTGACAAACATTTTTTTAGCAGAATAAATCCCACAGTGAAAGTGCACTTACTGGAGCAACCACTGTACATATTAGCCAAAGCTAAAAATCGATTATGATCTGACTAATTAATCAATGAAGATAAAATAAATTGCTGTCCAGCTGCTATATTTATGTTCTTTTTAAATTTTACACACTTTGTGCATAAAAGACAGTATATTTTTAAAGCTCATTTTTAAGAAAAATGATGACATGTAGCTTGTATTTGATGGAAATCTATTAGTAAACATTACCAAATTAACTGTTTACTAATAGATTGAGGAGATGAGTTTACACTTGACCCTTTACAAGATGTAACTTAGTTTATTAAATGTGTGTTTATTATAATAATATAATAATATTGACCTCCACAGATGGAAGCAATGTTCTAATGTAATGTCATAAAAGTTTTTTGAGCTTCTTGGGCACAGAAATGCCTTTAAACCTTCAACACAGTCTTTAAAATATTTTTAGCAAATGTGTGCAGTATGCTGAGGGTTTTTCTGACTTTACGCTGTCAGACACACGAGATAAACTTTGAGTGACTGCTCATTGTCAACATGTCAAATCTTAACATGAGTGATCAGTCCAGGAATGTTTGGTAGTTTGGTTTAAAAAATATACTTCAATGATTAATGGAATATCAGAATAGTTGCATTGTTTCTCCACACCTTTGGGAGCCATGTTTGCCTCTGGGTAAGACTGGCATACTGTTGGTGCAGAGCTTCACCACGTATGGGAGAGAAGTCTTACCTGGGTGTGTGTCGTCTTTGTGGTTGGCGGGAAGTGTATCGTTTATGTCCATTTAAAGCCGTCTGATTTTGTTTCTGTTTTTCTGCTGGTTTGAGACTCTTGTTTTTTGTCCACATATTCGATCAGAGCAGACTTCCATAGTTTTAAACATTGCTTATGAAACACTGTCATGTCATGTATTACTTTGCCTCATGTTTCTGTCATTGCTAGCTTATTATTTTCCAGTTTGACTAGTAAAACTGTCTTTGTCTAAATGTGTTGCCCAGAATAGTTAAACCTAAAAAATAAAAAGGTGCAGGAAGGCTTGCACTCTGTTCGAGATCAAAAAAGAAATGTATGATAGTAGGATTTTTAATTTGCCCCTGTAAACTTTTTTAATTGGTCTTAAATTTTCTGCAGTGAGGGGTTCAGATCAAACAGGAAGTAGATTATTACTACATTAAGCATTTCTGTCTAAAGACCAGACATGCACTGATTGTGAAATTCATGGGTAATATCAGTGTTTAGAATATGGCTGATTGTCGATTCTGATGGGGTTTTTTGTGTTATGTTTCCTGTGAGGTATAAATGTTTATGAAACCTTTCAGCTCTCCACACGTTCTTTTAACATTTATACACCAGTGCAAAGTTATTAATCACTGGCATCTGTAAATGTCATTTTAGTGGTGAACTTTTGCAGTATTGATACTGGCTGATTCCTGGGTGCACCCCTATGTGAGGCATCAGTGGAAAGAGAGGTAAACAGATATTATCAGTGTAGAAGACAATTTTTCAAAGTAATGGAAGGGCTGCAGAAAAAAGATACTCATTATTATCAGAGATGCATCTTTTTTTAATTTAATTTTTAATATGATTTTTAATTAGTGGATGTGAATCATGCATCTAGCTAACTGATAGGTTAACCGAATGTGTCTTTAGCGTTGTGATTGCCTTGGCAGGATTGCTTTCCACTGACTCTAAAGCTTGCTTAACACAGTGGGGAACAGGACATCGAAGGTCATGCAAACAGAATGAAATTGTGTGCTGGTAAATGGATCGAATTTTGTAAAGGGTCACTGACATGGGATGCATTTGCTTTTCCTTTCTATCCCTTTCCTCTTGTGATGTGCAGGTTAGACCGTAAGAGGGGATGTGAGTCACAGTGCAAGAGGAGGGCAAGATCAACACATGATTTTATGTTTTGTTTTTTTCTTCCCGGTGAAGCAAACTAGTTAAAACTAGGATCTTTAGAACCATGCTGCTTCTCAGCAGGCAGGTTCAGACCTCTGCATGCAGCTGCTTGGGAAAGAGACAGAGGTAGTGAGGGGCAAGCAAAGACCTGTTTCTGTTCTTGGCACTTCTGCATGCTGTGTGTGTAGGTATGTACGGTGTTTAGGCATGGTTAGCTTGTACAGAACTATTCCATTTTTAGCTTTCACCATGTGTGTTTCAAATCGCAGTGTGTGTGTGTGCTTAAGTTAATCATACAACTGTGTAGTTCAATAATTAAAGTACATAGTTAGTTAACTGAAATGAATCTTAAAAACCAGAATATGGGGGAATTAACTGAAAAAAATCAATGACACTTAAATCCCAGCCCCCAAAGTAACTGAAACAATATTAAACATTTTAAAAACAACTAAAGTAATTTTTTGGTCTTGTTTTTCTCCCACTTCCTCCCATAATCCAAAGTAGGGATGACCAAAATTATTCAGTATTATTATCCTCCTTATTTACCTAAATTCAGAGCATCTCTAAGAAGAAAATAACATATATATTTAACTTAAAAATGCACCAAAACTCTTGCATTAATTATCCAGTGGTCCCTCGTTTAGCGCGGGAGTTACGTTCTAAAAATAACCCACGATAGGTGAAATCCACGAAATGGCCACCTTTATTTTTTACAATTATTATAGATGTTTTAAGGCTGTAAAACCCCTCACTACACACTTTATACACTTTTCTCAGACAGACATGAACATTTTCATACTTTTCTCTCTTGTTTAAACACTCTCAAAGTTCAAACCTTTGCAGAAAAATATGTCCAGTGCAAAATGTTTCATTGACATTGTTGCGTTTGTTGGGGAGAAAACTTAGACATACAGTACAGGACTTCAGAGTCACACTGCTAGCGATCAAAGATTTATGTAAATTTGACAAGCTGAACGCATTCTGTAATGCACAGGAGACACAGCATGAGATTGACTGACAATGGTCTACAGCCAATCAGGACGCAGATCACAATACATTGTGGGAAAAAAAAAAAAGCAAAAAAATTAGCGAAACAGCGAGGCCACGAAATGTGAACTGCATTATAGCGAGGGACCACTGTACTGCAGTTTGTGTTGTGTTTCTATCCATCTATCCATTTTCTCCTGGTGATCCCTTTCAGGGTTGCGGGAGGTGCTGGAACCTATCCCAGCTACCACAGGGTACATCCTGGACAGGTCGCCAGTCTGTCGCAGGACTAACACATAGAGACAAACAACCATTTGCACTCACATTCACACCTATAGGCAATTTAGAATGACCAATTAACTTAACCCCACTAAATGCATGTCTTTGGACTGTGGGAGGAAGCCGGAGTACCCGGAGAGAACCTACGCAAACACAGGGAGAACATACAAACTACACACAGAAAGTGCTTCCATTTGGTTGAATAAGTTGTTACTTTGTAGCACAGAGACAACTTTACAACACCCTTCATGTGTCATTTATTCTTGGTTAACATCACTTGTTCTAAACTGATGATTTCCTTACTAAAAATGTCTTTTAATGTAGTATTATGGTGCCATTACACCCACCGTTCTTGGCCTTGCGAAGGGTGCAACACTCCAAAAGTGACATGCATTTGCTGGGTCAAGCCACGCTTTGGTTTCATTTTGACCAGTGGTGCACCTCTTGACTTTTGTAACCTTGTGTGGGTGCCGCAGCTGATGTCACAGAGTTAAAGCCACTACAGAAACTCAGAGATTCAGAGGTTATACACAAAGAGATTTTTAAAAAGTTAGTGCCTGTGACAGCACCGATAGGCTCCAGTGGGCCCGAAATTCTGAATAAGTGCTTATAAAAATGATGGATGATTTTTTGTTTTGTTTTATACTTCAGCACAACTAGCCAGAGAAAAAATATCTGTTTATGGAAACTGGGATGTGTATGTGACTGCGAGTCATGCATTTGTATTGTAAAACCCATTGTGGACTTAAATTATCCTCTGACAAATGAAACACATAAAAGGAAGTAAAACTATTAAAAAGTAAAAATCACAGCAAACTAGAATTGAGCAGACAAACCCTGGAAAGTGAAACTAAAATGAATCTGGAAGAATTCACCAGATTTTCAGTCAATGTGTCCATGGTTGGTGTCAGCATAAAATTTTCTTTAGTTAGATATCTTCTCTTTAGATGTTCCAGCAACCGCTTTAAAGTGCACCACTTGCAAGCTGTAAGAAATTAAATGGCTGCATAGAAAGACTTAAAATAATTCTTTTCCTTTGTTTTCATTCCCTGAAATGGGCTGACACTGGAAACAGGACAGCTGTGAACATTTTGGAAAAAAGAAAAGACTTTCTATCTTTTTATAAGGCTTGCAACAATATTATCTGACTGTGCTTTAATATTTGAAGTACCCAAATGTTGGTGGTTTAAAAAGGGAAATTCGCCCCCTGGTGGTCACATTTATTTATGGGGTTGTGTTTTAGTACACTGAAGTGGTGACCCAGATACCATTTCATATAAAAAGTGTGCTTAATAACTCTTTCTTTTTTTTCTTTTTTCTTTTTTTTAAGTAGGGCTCATAATATCTCTATAGGCCAGAGGTTGATTTTAACAAAACTAAGCGGATGACCTGACTTAGTTTTTGGGTGGGAATACACACAGACAAATAGAAGTGGTGTACAGTTAAATGTGATCTAGCTTTTTCTGCAACCAGTATTTCCCATGACCAGACAGGCAGCATGACTCACTGTTACGTCCAGTACAGATTTAAAAGGATTAAGTACACACTTAAAATCTTATTTGCATGCCACAGGTAGTAGTAGGACATGGGTAGTAGAAACTGGAGCATTTTTCACTATAATGAATAGATTGTTAGGATTTATGTTTCTGTGGGGTTTTTTCACATCAGCAGTTAAAGCAACACCTGCAAACCACAGGACAAACTGTAAACCAATGCCATCACAATGTTATTACATGGATATTGTGGCCAAAGTGCACGCAGTTCCTATTAGCAATAATTTGGTGCGTTTATTGTGAAATTATGTAAAACAAACAACCATAATGTAAGGAGGAGGGGGTGTTTGTAACCACCACTGTACGAAAACATACAAGAGGATGCACTTAATCACAAATACATAAGTGCAGTTTCAAAGCAAATGTAAAGATTTTAGTGTAAAATGATACATTTAAATATTGCAGGTTTGTGGTTGTACAATGCTTCTTTGGAAACAGAAAACACAGATTGATTGTAATTGCAGATAATTTTAGTTTGTAGGCAACAAAAAGCGACCATTGCTAACCTGCGGTCATCAGCCATGTGAGGTGGGTTGCAGAAAACTTCTTGCATGTAGATACTTGCTTGGATATTTGTCAGCATGAGCACAACAGGACTTTTCTTCACCCTGCACTTTTTCATTATTTGATGCCCTGAAGAAAGCCTGGCAGGGCTTGAAAGTATGTTCAGGGCACAGAGAGGGAGATGATTCCTGTTTCTATTTGCTAATTTCTATTTTGGGTTTTTGGATATTAGAGCAACACAATATTCTGGTTAACACAGAAAAGTTGTCACGTATATCAGTGGTTAAATTAATAAGCCAACTGACTTGCATGCTTATGAGGGACTGGTAAATCTTGATGGTGGGAATCACCGGAGACCCCGTGATATAATTGTTATCATGATACTTAAATCCCACTATGATATCTTTGCGTTTTTAAACATTTTGTAAAATGCTTGGTAGTGCAGTAAGATATATCATGATATATTACAATTTATGACCTTTAAACTTTAAATTCTAATCTCTCTATATTGCCCTATGTTCCCCTCATTTCAGTCATTTTGATTGCTGGAAAATGGCTCAACACTGTCATAAATGCTACATGCACCTGACAAACTGAACTGTTTGTATTACAGTCCAACTTAACTGAATGCAAACATGTGGGCTGCTGTGCTTCTACAGGTTTTTTGAATGTGAGCCAGCAGCTGCCAGTCCTCAGTGAGATAGTCAGCTGTTACAGACACAGGAATATGCAGGCCGTGACGATCACGCGTCGCAAGTTAATGCAACCCTTTCTGCTGTAACCTACCTTTCGTCAACTTCACGCTTCGCTTCTGTCTCGGTGCAGCTGCGTCTGTTGAAGCCGCATGTGGGAATATCTGGCTGTTTTGAGCATGTAAACAAAAGCTGTCGTTTTCCACAATGTTGCATGGACACGGGTCTTTGCACTTAAAATAGGTGATTGATTGATTTTTGTCCTTTTGGCTTTGTCAACTTAAGAGTGAGCTGATGTAAGGTTAGCTTTGTAGTCCTTGGATAATGTTATGTGAGGATGGTGGCATGTTAGATGAGCCCTCATGTCGTAGTATTCCTGGAGTGTTTTACTTTCGTGTGACACTCTTGCATATCCCAGCAGCAAACAGTGTTCTCTTTATTTATTTTTTTCTCTGATGCCACTCTCTTTCTTCCTGCACGCTGACCATCACCTCTTTGACCCCTTAAAAAATAAAAATAAAAAACCCCTCAACAACACTACCCGATGGACTGAAAAGCAATTGATTTTTACTATTAGAGCTCTAAAAAGTTCAATTAGTATTTATAGTTCATGTAACAAGATAAACTTTTGTCCCTTGCAAAATGTTATGCTATAGAGAGCCTAAAGTTGTAGCGCTAAATGAAGCAGCAGTAAAACTGGTCACGTGCAGGAAGTATACCTGATTTCGAAAATATGATCATTTATAGTGGTGATAGATGGTCATAACTACTGGAGATGCCATGCTCCAGGTGGCAAACTTGGGTATTTGTAAAACATTTAGTTTTTGCTGGATCTACTTCAAAGATTTTATTAATTAGAGTAAAAATCGTAACTGTGCAAATGAGGATTCTTTGAGCTTTGGAGTGATTTAAGCAAGTTAACATTGCCTTTATAAAGTTGTCCTAGAGAGCAGACAGTGACATCATTTGATAGCTGTGTATTTTCCTGCAGCAGCTGCATTTAGCATGTATCCAGTGAGGGAATCCGTTTCTCTTGTAGTCAGTAACTGACTCTTTTTTGGCTGGAACTTGAGGAATCTATACAGTCTAGACACCAAATCTCCTCCCATGATCCCTGTGGGTCCTGAAGATGAAAGGAGGGGGGTCTGTGTGTGTCCGTGTGTACGTCTGTGTGTACATACGCACCCACATACATACCCACAGAGCAGGCGCCTCATAGTAATACTCATTCAGGCCAGCTGTTAGGCCACTGGTGGCTTTTCCCTTACCGTGGCAGACCCTGTCTCTACACTAATGGGCACACAAAGGTCTTCTGCAACTCCCAACCAAGGGGACTTTTCTTTTATCTAATGTTTAGTTCCTAATCTCGACAGTGGTTGGTTAGTCTTTGGTGATGCTGTCATGTTGTCATACTGTGTTGGGAAATGTGAGTAAAATAATTTTGCCCCTGTCTGGATGACACATTGCTGATTAGTAAGCATTTCCTCTCTCATTAGGTCTTGACCACCTGGAAAAGAGTCTGCTTGCAGCCACAGTAGCCAAAACGGCTGTCTGTATAAATCAAGGTAGTCTATGCCTTACTAGTTTTCGTCTGTTGTACTGAAGAGACACTATTTTGGTTTTAAACCTTCTTTAATGAGCAGGCTTACATTGTCGAGGGATTTAGACAGTAGACAGTATTGAGCAGTTATTAAAACCTGCTGTAAATGGGCTTTTCCCCATTTTAACATGCCTGTAGAAAAGAGCACAGATTCAACTCTTAATGATATTGTCACGCTAAGCTGCGATTAATCAGTATGCACAACAGCGGAACAAAGCACCTAAATAAATAATTCACCTGTCATTAATGCTGTTGTTTTTACCCGTAGTCTTTCTTTACCGTGACATGTCCAAATGTTTTCCTTCAGAAAGGCCTATTGTGTAACTGTTATCTGACCAGTATGATGATATCGTCAATGGGTTCCGGCCAAGGCCTCTTCATCCTCCACTCTGTTTCCTGGGGAATAACATATGTTTATATGTGATCTGTTGCTCCAGGCTCCGTTGAGTAATATTGTCTATTATTCACAGTTAAAAAAACAAAAACAAAACAAACAAACAAAATAGAAAAAAACAAAAGAGAGAGAGAGAGAGATGCACACACACACACCACTACAGCAGTGGAGAGAAGAATGCAACCTCTTATGCATTCCTCTCTCAAATAACTGGTGCAATCCCCCTTTCTGTTTTGCAAGTTGTTTTCCATTCAGATCATGCCGTATATCACATTCTTAAAGGAGACATATTATTATGTTCTTTTCTGACTTCATTATTTTATTGTTGGAAACTACTTGAGTAACTTTGCATGAATTGGGACTTAGTTCAGCTGCTCTTTGAACGAATCTGTTTTTAGCTCTATCACTTTGTCTTTTAACCCACTTTCCTTCTACCTGGCTTTCCTGAGATGATTATATTATGGATATTTGCTCTGTTTGACATCACGCATAGCCAACAGTAAGAAAAAAAACAACAACTCTGAAATGGAGTGTGCAGAGCAGTCCAAAGCCCAAATTTTTGCAGATATGCTGACCTCATTATTTTAAACACTGGCCATGTTTCATATGAGCCGATTAAACAGTGCAGCAGTACGTACATGAAAGAAAGTAATAGGTTCCCTTTTAAAGAGCTGTAAATTGAGCTGCACGCATGCCTACATGTAATTACGTTAACCTGAAGTAAAGAGATCCCAAATGGCAGCAAAGAAAGGAAAAAAGCGACACTAGGGCTAAACCAAAGCGTAAACCAAAGCCTTTTCCATATACGTAGGGCACACAATGTTTTAAACAAAACAATTGAAAGTGTATGCATGTGGATTTAGGACAAACAGTCCTGTTGAGTCACTGACTCTCACCCTGGTTTTTGTTATTTGAAATCACTTCAGCATCAGAAACACTGTGTTATGAAATCTCGGCTTGTGATTGCGCCGTTTCTGACTAGAAAATAAGTATTTACTGAACCATCTGTGTTTGTTTAAAGCTTTTGTAGCCAAGTTAGACTGTCTTTGTTGATAGATTGCTCAAACTTGAATCGGCTTCTTTTATGTTGGCATCACTACAGTTTTCGTTGTCTCAGTGCAACATGTGGGATCTTCCAACTTATCTCCCCATCGCACATACAGACTTGTGTGCTTACAGAGAACTTCCAAGTTGAGTTAGGAATGCAGCATGGGAGCTTGTCACCACCTGGTTCCATAACACAAGCCCACACTCTGTCACATGCTCACCCTGTTCTCCACTCCGTACCCAAGCAGGCAGTCCCAGCTGTTGTTTTCTTTGCAGACAACCTGCTACCTAGCGTGCCAGCTCTTTCTTTTGGTAAACAGTTCAGCTTTACAGTTCAGAAATTCCCCTCTTACAGATGATATGATCAAAGGCAGACATGAGGGCAGCACAAGCTGACGCTAGGGCATTTATATGTGGTCGGTGCGCCTCTGTTTGTCTTCAAAAAGTTCCAGTGTCATTTCAGTTAAGCGGGAATAAGCAACCATTCTTTGATTTGTTTTCTTTTTCCCCTTCCTGTCCAGTTTATTATGAAGTATTGTCATGCCGTCCTGTCCCTTAATGTTGTAGTAAGCTCCTCTTCATAGAGCTTTAAGAGGGGGCCTGCAATGCTCGCTCCATCTGGATCCACTTAGACTCTAAGAAGAGCATAAGCACTTCCACTGCTGCAGCCTGAGAGTCTCATAGCCTGAGTGGCTTGCTTGTGTATCTGTTGCTGTTTTTACTCCAGTGGGCATTCAGACAAATGGGTCTTTCCCCAGGCATTTAGATGTCTCTAAGACATGTAATGTTGATAGCAGGAAAACTGTGCACAAAGACTGTTTCTTTCTTTACTTTTATTTTGTTTGTCTGTGCTGTCTTGTCACTGTGTGGTCATTGTGTTACCTACTGATTTACATCCAAAAGTAGTAATAGAAGTTTTTGTGCTAACACTCTTTTCTTAATTTCTGTAGCACTGCAATCCATCTACTCACATGCAACCTTTTCTGTGCAGCTTTCTTTTTCCCTCCCGAAAGTTTGCCTTTCCTATTCTGAATCTGCATACTCATAAAATAATGTGATATATGTTTGAAATAAGCTGTTTAATGCCAGCACTCTGGGTAAACTTTCAGAGTTTTGTTAAAATCTGAAACAATACTGGATTAGCACCTATTTCTGAGCCCATTTGCTTGGCCTTTCTTCTATCCTGCTAACTTTCAGGCGTTCGCAACACAGATGATTAGGTTGTCATTTTAAACATGAGAAGTGACGGATTGTTGTGTATATTCGACACCGTCTGTCTTGTTTGCTCGGTATATGAAATTTTAACCCTAGGCTATCACCCATATGTTCCAGTACTCTGCAGGTTTGCATAATTATGACTTTTATGCAAGGTTTGCATCTTTCTGGCACACGCTGGACAGGCCACAACACTCCATCATGTGGAAAAATTATGTTGTGCTTAGTCACTTGATACGAGTTGCCCTATTTTTCATCTGTCATCATGATAAAATGGTTCCCTCATTCCTTTTCCAATAGGTCGGCGGGGTTTTGCTGCCAGACCGTCTGTACTAAAGATTGCTGCAAAGCTGAGCTGTTAGTATACTCTTGTCCAATCACATGGCGAGGATTAAACTATACACATGAATGTACTTGTATGGTTAGCTTCCCTTCCATCAACATTAGTAACTTATTACCACCTGCAGCTACACTTCTACAACATTAACCTTGAACTAGACCAGCAACTGTTTTCTTCTTAAGTGTCTCCCTGTGGAGAATTACGTGGAAATCTAAACCCCCTAACCTCAAGTGCTGGTCTGCATGCCTCCGACACTCTGGCTGCATTCTCTAGAGGGTCCTGGATAAACAGCCATATGTGTACCCACATGTATACATGAAACCTGATTCTTGAGTGTCTGTTCAATCAACAGATTAAGGACAACTGACAGATGCGGATTACCTTTGGTGCTAAATTGTGTACAATAAAAATTAATGTGAAATTGCTAAGAAGAGCCCACATAGCTTTGTGCCAATCGCTACACCCCATCTTGTTGTACTCTGAAAGTTTATTCAGTTTAAAGGTATATTCATTATTTTTCCATAAGGTAGATCTATGGAATTTATAGCATTTTTATGCACTGTGGATATGCTGGACTCTGTGCTCTTTTATGTGCGGGACAGAAATCAGGCTGATGACAACTGTAGTTTTTCATCAACTTCTAATTTTCTTCTTTGTTCCTGTTTTGATTTATCATGCAAGTCAATTGTATACCTCTGCCTTCGTTGCCTTAACACTTCATCATATGAATATGTTCCTAGCGGGTCTTTTTAATTTTGTTCGTGTTTTGGGAAGAGAAATCTGAGTCTGGGTCATGTCAGTGTTACCTGAACATCTTTGCACAAATAGTTTGAGTCTTATTATGAGCGCTCATCCCATACTTCAAGTTTTGGACAAAGAAATCAGGAAGGCAAGGGGGGGGGGGCATAGGACATGGAGAGAGAGAGAGGGCTAAAAGCCACCTCGTGGGTGGATGTATGTCAGCTAACTGTTAACACACTAGGTTCAGATTATAAAACGCGAGCGAATGATTCTCCTATGATCTCACTTCCAAACAATGTGCTTCATGTTTCTCCATCTGCAACCTTTTTTCCTTTTTCCTCCATTTTTATAGCCCCTCTCCTCTTCCCCTCATCCTCATCTCCCCAACGCTTTGTGACTGCGGTAAGTTAATGGGCCCTTCTCGGAGTCGGAGGGAGCCTGCATTTCTTCTTAATTGGTGTTTGGGGTGGTGCATGAGAGGAACACAAATGTTTGCCATACCAGCACTGAAGCAATGATGTAGGGCCTAGTGGCATGTGACTGAATGTTCAGGGTATTGAGTTTGTTGCTCAAAGCCAGTGAGACTTTGCCATATTGAACAATTCCCATAATTACTAATGAGACTAACAGACAAGCATACAATAGTGTGCTAAAGTACTGAGAGTATCATGGATATGTTGTTTTAGGCCCACCCATGTCAGTGCTGTTATTTGTATAGAGTCACCTCATCCTCTTGGCGGGATTCCTCTTAGTTTGAGATTTTAAAAAGCCAATCTGAGTTTGGCTGACACTTGCAGCCTCCAGAATACCCGTCAAATAAAAAAATAAAGGAAGAAAAACCCCATCACTACAGTTTAAGCTGCATCGTTCTATGTATTCATTTTCACCCTTTCCCCAGCATTGAATAAAACTTTTCCCTTAAGCTTCATCTCGTAGACAAAATAAAACAGACATACCCAATGTGACGTCACTCGTCGGATTTGGAATCCATATTTTTTTATTTTTCTTAAGCAGGAGGAAAATCCTGTTTTTAATTTGTAAATCTGGAGGTGAGTTGGAACAAAGAAAGGGTGCTTTTCTGCCTGGGCAAGGAAGAGAAAAAGTTATGAAACACATCAAACAAATCTGCAATGCCTGGAGCAAAATGTACAGCGGCCAGGTGCTAACTGGTAAAACTAAATAACACTAATCAAAACTGTCAAGACAAAGAATTTGGGGTATTTTTACTCCTACAGTTAATTTTCTCTGGTCAGAATCAGTTGATGAATTGAACTTGTACCTTTTCCCCATTGTTTGATTTGTCTCACACAAAGAAAATTCCAAGCAAACCACAGTGCGTCCCTTTTGGACTAGTGGATAACATGGAGAATTTCTCTAATTATCACTTCACTTTACGACTAGTTGGTGCAGTTTGTATATTAAGGATGTCTGCGTTAGTCTGCCACATCCCTGAAATCAAAATATACCTGGCTACAGGAAGGTGTTCAGCTCAAACTTGGAGCATAGACATGGAAGTTGGGTTGGATCAAGGTTAAATTTAGATCATTTGGAACTGTAGCGAGACCACCTACTTCAAAGGGTCTCTTTGTAGCTGATTTGGTTTTTACTCTGTTCACATCTGCACAAGCAAACTGCACCAAAGGGGAAAAAACACCAACCAGAGTTTTATTTAAGCAGACTAAACAGCGCAGGGGTGAAAGCACCCTTAGACTATAGAGTACCAAAAGTGGATACCAACACCGAAATACCTTAAGCTACACTTATATAAAAAAAATTAAAAAAAAGAGAGACCAAAAATAGAAACGAGGTCATAGAGGTCTATGGGAAAATGGCCCTTTCTCTGTTACCTAAGTAAACACTTTCCCCACTGATTTTACAGGCTTAGTGGTTAGTTTAATCTCAAGTTGAATAAAACATGGGGCTCATTTTGTAAATTATCACAAGTGAGCAGATTGATTAGTCATTGGCCATTAAGTTTGTGGACCCTCTGATTTGGAAAGTGGAAACGTTCACCTCGAGCCTTTGTAACGGGGCTTCAGTGATGTATAGGTGAATTCACAGTGGCTATGTCCAACTGTTATACTGCCTATGATTTAAACAGAGTAATATTTTATGGACAACCTTTATTGCACACATAGGAACATAAGTTGTCATCAACCTGAGCAATGTTATTCTTACTTCCTCTGCTCTTTGCAATGTAGACTCACACTGAGCTAAAACAACACAAATGGAGGTACATGACAGAGCCTGCTACTCGACTGTGATATGAAAGAGCTAATAGTAATGAACTAGGTGCAGTGTAGACTCACATGCATTGGAAAGGGCTTTGGAGATGTTAACAAGAACTTGATTTTTTTTAAAAATATAAATCTGATTGAGTTTTTTTAAAATAACCTTCATGCTTTCTCCTCTCTTTGTCCTTGACTGCATCAGTCTACACATTAAATGAGCCACACACGAAGCCAATTATAGGTTGGACAATCATTCTAATGCTCAGTAATCAGTAATCTTTTACTAAGATATATACAGTCATGCGAAGAAGAATGTTTTCACAGGACTCAATGTATTTTGTTAAAAACTAAGTACACCCTTACTGGCATCCATAGGAATTAAGAGGGTAAGTAGCAGCCAGGTGCTGCTAGTCCACTTGATTAACATTCACACGTTTGCCACGGTCTTCTCAGGAATCCCTGCAAGTTCACCCCAAGGGCATACCATGCAATGCTCAGAGAAACTGCAAAACATCTCAGACTATACAAGCCTGAGGTATCATGTTAAATTTTAATGACATCTCAATTAGATAAAAATGGAACAAGTATGGCTTGTTTGGAAGTGTTGCCAGGAGAAAGCCTCTTCTCTCTAAAACAGTGGTTTAGGTTGGTAGAATTGCATCTGAACAAAAGATTTCTGGAATAATGTCCTTTGGACCATGTACCACAGTACCATGTTTGGTGAAAGCCAAACACACACTCACCACAAACATGCTATCACTCTATAAACCAAAGAATTCTAGAGTCAGATGTGAGGCCATTTGAGGCCATTCGTCCAACAGCTTGGCTGAAATTGGGTCATGAAACAGGAGGTGTTACCTAGTCAAAGTCCAGACCTCAATCTGATTGAAATGCTCTGATGGTATCTTAAGAGAGCTTTGCATGAGAAATTGCCTGTAAACCTCAGTGAACTGAAGCAACCTAAAGAAGAGTGGGCCAAAATTCCTCCAAAAATGTGCAAGAGTCATACAAAAAATGATTTCATGTTATTGCTGTTGAAGCAGTTTCTACAGTTTCTACATGAGTCTGTAGAATCCCATGTGAAAATATTATTTTAACCAGTAGTTGATAAAGTTTACATCAGTCAACAATGTCACTGCATTCCCATTGTGTTTCAAAGATAAGTCACTGTCATCAGTATGCTTTCCTGTGTAGGGTGTATGTTTAGTCCTTGCTTTTGAAATGAAATTCCAATGAAAAGGTCAACCAGCAAACTAGCCTGACACTCCTTCTATGCATTATGGTTTCCAACCAGTCAGCTTCCCAACAACACCTACATGACTGGACTTCTGATCTCTATATTCAACCACATACACACAGTGAAATGTAAGTCATTTATGTGGAAAATATTTGCCAGGGGTAGTCAGAAGCATGTTAAATGCTGTGGTTTTCAAAGCAGTTTCAGGATTCAGTGTATTGATGACCAAAGGTCTTTCATATAGCATGGTGGGACAAAATAAGATGATTGAAGACTCCGTACTTTCTCACTTGTGTATTCCTGTTATGATGAATGGGGAGAACTTCTTCTTTTCTTTTCTTTTCTTTTTTTCCTCTCTGTCTTCTAGAATATATGGTAATTTGCTTTGATGTAGGTTTTTGTAGCTATGCAGGTTGTGTAGTAATTGTTTTTCTTTGTCCTGTTGGACTACTTGATAAGTCAAGCGCTGTATGTACGAAAAGAGGAATCATAGATAGGCTGGTTGAAGTCTGGTCTCATCTTCCAGTTATTTTGCATTATACCTTTGTGTCTTAATATTTGTGTCTTTAAATAAAACACACACACACTCACACATATAATATAATGGTCAGTTGGGGCACAGGAGGGTGCATCTTGCATATGTTTTTAGGAATGGATTTTTAAATTTTGCTAAGAAGCTTTCGTCAAATAGTTTATAGTTTTTGAAGTTTTTTGACAAATGCCATTGGCAGCTTTAGTAACATTCCAGACTTTGTTGCTTTTAATAATAATTTTGACTTTTTTCATGTGATTTAATTCAGTAGATTTAGTACGCTAGTGTGTTGCAACCTCCGCTTTAGTGATTAATACAGAGATAGCTGGGGGAAAGAGAGAGTTGTGAAGTTGTCCAGCAACTTCTGCCAAGGGTTATTTCTTTTTCTAGTTATGGTCAAGGCAGAGACCCTGCCTCAAAACCACAGAGCCACGTATGTTTCTTGTAAAGTAAAACAAATACAAGAGACGGTGACAGGCCCTCATTTTGATTAATTTCAATATGTTGCTCACTTAATTCCCATTTCAAATGACCTGTGGTAAATGAGTGTGAAGTCCAGAGCACACACTGGCAGAAGTTATACTTTTCCCCTGTTGATTGAGCACTTTAGCTATGCCTTTAACAACCTGTTTCCAGAACAGATTCCTCAACCTGTAAACATTTCAGACGGCAGGGAGAGAGAGGAAAAACCGAGAGAGAGGGTATAGTGGCAGAAAGATGAAGGGGGGAGGGGATTTAAGCATTTTAGGAGGAGGAGTGTCTTGTAATTATCCTATGACTTCAGCAGAAAGAAAGGAGGAATTTTTTTAGAAGTATACACCATCTGAGCTCTTTTCATAGTTTGAAATTAGAGCGTTTGACTCACATGTTGGCATGGGTTTTGGGATACTGGTGGGGTGTTGTTTGTATTCTTCTCGGAGAGTGTGTGTGGTAGTGGTCTCTCCCTCCTACTTTTGAGGTGGGAGGGCTGAGCTGATGTCATTGAGTGCAGCAAACTGAGCCTGAAAGAGGCTCTTTGTTGGCAGCTGCAGCACGAGTAGTCCCTGTGCCTCGGATACTCACTCACACAGGGGGACGGAGAGAGGAATGGCACCGCACAGACGGCCCTAGTGTGTACTCAACTGATAAATCTACAAGGCGATAAACGTTTGGACAAAATCTGCGCTATTTTGTTGGGGTTTTTTTGGTGATTGTTTAACTGTGGAGGCAACCTAAAGCCAAAGAGGGGGAAAAAAAACATGGAGACGCTCATAAGGAAAAGTTGGTAGACTTTGCCGGACAGCGGACTCTTTCTGTTTCGGAAAGGAGTGAGAACAATAATAAAAGGATACATTTCAGTTGGAAGGACTCCAGGAAAAACAAACCAATATCTATTTCTTCTTTACTTGGTGTTCTTTCCACTTTTGTCAGCTTCTTTTGGATTTTTTTATTATTCTTTTGTTGGACACATGTAGACGAGAAACGTTCAAGGGACATCTGGTTTGAACAAGCAAAAATATTTTCAGCGTGAAGGGAAAGAAAGCAAATGAAAATGTTGGAGATATGCCTAAAATTGGTGGGGTGTAAATCTAAGAAAGGCCTCACGTCGTCCTCCAGCTGTTATTTGCCAGGTAAAGAAATCTAGTTTTCTGTTTCTTTTGATTTTTACAGTTTGCCATAAGAGGAACAGTCACAGGAGAGATGTGAGAAATGGAGAAAAAGTAAAGGCTTATGAGCACAGAGGAAAGAAAGAAAAGGTTGAAGTATCCACCGTGTAAAATCTCAACAATCATTTCTGGGTTCTGGAAAGTGAAGAATGGGGAGGGGAAAGCGGAGATCAAGCTCAGGGGAGGGTTGGGGAGCCCAGACACACTGGCTAGCTGGAGAGGAAAAAGTGGAAAATGAGACGGAGAAGAGAATACAAGGAAATCTGACTCCTGCCCATGTCCCACTTAACTCTTGTTTATGTGGAGAGGGGATCTAATCTCAGTCTGCGCTCCCTTTTTCTTCTCTGCTGTATTACACTACTTCAATCTTGTTTAGTGCTCCCATAATGAAGTTAGTAGATAATGAAAGAGGGAGAGGGGGTTGTGAACTTTTTTTCTAGCGTCACGCACAGTTGATTTCCGGATTATCTATGCAACACAAGGGGAATTCAACGAAGTCCAGGACATATTGGGTCTGTACATAGTAAAAGATTAGTACTGGGAGACTGAGTGAAGTCTTGTGTGTTCTGTAGATTGCACAACCAAATGATTTAATAGAGTTAATAGTACTTGTACGGCCCCATTGAAGTAAGTGACAGTGATAAAGAGCCTCTAACTCTTAGATCTTATTGTAGAAGGCACAACAAATCTCCTGATTATGCCTCAGGGAGGCTGTGTTTGTCTTTGATCCATGAACAAAGCAAGCTTTTTGACATTGTTGGAATAATTATATTCCATGGGCATAATAGCAGGAAGATTGTGGATATTTTCAGAGAGCTTGGGGTTTAAATGGTGTTTCTTTCATGCATAGTTGCCTACTTTTTCACCTGGTTCCTTGCTATCTCCCACGAACATCTTGCAAACATATCTACAGTCAGTAGAAGTACATCACCACTTCCTACTTCAGTCATAGCATCTTAAGCAAAAGGAATATATTAGGGTAGAAGTTTTCCCCTTTTCATTACTCATAAATATGTAATTTTGTACTAAGTGTGTTCCATCTGCAATAAATCAGCCTTTTTTTCTCTTTACCAGTTGATGGGAACTAATTGATGGGAACTAACAGCTGTACCAGCTGGTTAGTTGCATTTGTAAACTGGTTCATTAGAGATAAGTAGAATCACCAGGATGACACAGCTCCTAGTTTTTTGCAGAAATTTTCTTTCTTGCATCAGTGTTTGACTTCCAGTGCATTCCTAATGCTGATAGAAGTGCAGTCATGGCTGTAAATTCTTTAGGAGTTCCTCACATATTTAATCATTTTGACTGTCATTTCACTAATGCAGCCAGGACATGCTGTAATTTCTCCCACTCCATGACTGGGGAGGGCTGCGGTCTGATACGAGGGCTGCTCCCATTCTTTGCTTCTTTCTTTCATTTACCTCCTTTTTTCTGTTTTCATATGACTTTTCATTTCCCCCCTCTTTCTCTCTCTCTGTTGACACATGTGTCAGCATGCTGTCATCATCTCACAAATAGCTGCAGTATTTCTGGCCTGTTAAGTGGGCATGTGTGGCACGGGCTGTTAAAATCGCTGCCCACACACTGTATGACCAGCCCAAACTGTATGCAGCCCCCCGCCCCATTTGAGCCGGTTTCCTATCTTGCTCGATCTCTGGTCTTATCTGTTTGAATTTGGGTTGTTTTTGTTGCTAAAATTAAGCTTGGTGCTTATGAATGAATGGCTGGCTGTGCTTTTGAAGGTTTACACCTTGGACAAAAGGACAGGAGAAATATAGAAATGTAGGTATGAGCCAGATCTATCCTGTGTGTCATCAGCAGCTCAGCCATCAGGTCCTTTAGCTACAAAAAAAAAAAAAAAAGCAGCACATTTAGTTATGATAGTCTCACTGTGAGTAGGCTGGTGAGCCTAGCTTGCCAGAAGAGTTGGTGTGAAAGGATTTCATTAGCCTCCAAATACATTGATGCCTGGAACTTGTCAACAATGTCATGTGACAAGTTGTGGGCCTGTTTACTTTGTATAGGGTTATATTAGTTTACTGCTGTATGTTAAATCTTTGAAATACTTTAGGTTGTGAGGAATTTGGAAGTCATATCATCTCCGACTGTGACTAGAAAGTCCATTACACAATGGCCCTTTAAGCTCATGTTGAAATGAACACATTTGTTGCTGCTGTTATTGAATAACAGCCACTGCTTTTTCCACAAACTGTTATCTTTGCAATATGGTTATTCACCCATCCAAGTATTAATGCATTAAATCAAATTGTGTTATCAATCCTCAAAACGTTGGTGTGAGTTGCCAGTTTTGGAGATATCCACTTTAAAAATGTATTCAGTATAGGGAAACTAGGGTAATATCTTTTTACACTCATCACGAGGCAGTTACAAAAAATGGAGTAGAAACTGTTTTCTTTGTACAAAACAAGCAAAAACCTGTGATTGGAGGTTTGTACTAGTGACAGCGTGACTGGACGAACCATTAATGGCACACCCCTTGGGGTACATGCTTGTTTTGGTTGGTGAATTTAGAGTGGATAAGAACATGCTCTTCTTTAATTGCAAATAGGCATTGTAATGATAAATGCATATGCAAATGCATAATTAGCTATATTTTATTGACTTTTGCCTTTAGGTTACATTATTGGCTTGAGGTAGAGCTATCTTGTTCTATGAACGAGCCCAACTTCCTCCTCTGAAGCTGTAAGTTGTCCTTAGTCCATTGTTAGTCTTGGAATAGGTTATTTATTTCTGTTACAGGATTTTCATAGATGCACTAATGGAAAATTGTCTAGTTTTTTTTCCCATTGGGTCAATTAATCACATGTGTTTAGCTGAGTCTTGATTTGTCTGTAGTTTTTCAGTTGGGTCAGAGGCACAACTGTTGAGCATAATTGCTAAATTACTAAATAAACACAGTTACAAGTCAGAATATTTTATCTGCTGTTACCAAATCAGATGTTTTCTTAATCATTCACCCTTTCAGTCAAACCATTTGGCTTTGTTTCTGAGAACGACTAGAACACACAAATGCTGCAGTTGCACAGCAACTAAGATATGTGTGGTGGTATGTGTTGTAATCCATGCAAGACTTTTACATAAAACAAAAGGAGCAGTGAGCACTAAGAGCACAGCAAGGAATGTGGTGATAACCAAAGGAAAGTGATGCAAGATGAATGTCAGCTGTTGTAAGGGAGAGAGAAAAGTGAGCACATGGGTAAGTTTTATAGCCTGTGATGCCCAGGTGACCCAGATCAGCTGACAGCGTTCCTGAGTCAAGAAGTTTCCTGCTGAGCTCGCAGATAAAATGGATGTAAAATGGCCTAAAGCCGTTAAATTATAAAATCTGCACTGCTGTGCTTTGCCGGTAAAACTTAATTTGTCACATACTAGTAGCTAGCCATTTGTTTTTTGGGAATGCTTGGAAGAATGAAATGCAAGATGGGTCCAAAACATGTGTGACAACAGCTGAGAAAACCGCACAGTCGAGCTCATTTTATAGGACAAACTGCGTTTAAATAGTTTCTCCTCTTTTTTTTTTCTTCTTGCTCTTCACTGTAAACAAAATCCTTCTTTTTTTTTCTGTGTATTATTTTATTTTGTCACATTTTGAATGTTATCAATCAGGTTTACTTCTTATGCTTTGTTATAATTTAAGACATATATAACAAAATTTTAAATTAAACTACTTTGAACTTATCTATTTTATATTTACAGACAAGATCAGTGGTGAAACATATTCTCATGGCCTAACTTGGGGGGAGGGTGATTGTCTAGGTATTTAGGAAAATTAAATCTAAACAGGGATAATCCAGGAAATGAAAAGTTGTAGAAGCTTGAGGTACAATTTAGATCACATGATTGGCCTCTTTACTCTTGATTTCATGGTGGGATCACAACTGCTGAAGCAAAACATGGGCTGAAAGTGATATAAAAAAGTATAAAATGACAGATGGAGAGGTTAGTGTTCTGAATTATCCAACTTGTGTGTGAAAATGCTTCACAGGGTCAGTGTTGTGGTGTCTCTTCCGGACTTCATAATTAATATTTTTGCTCATATTGAAGTTTCATACTTGTATTCTGACAGGCTTGTTGTTGTTGTTCTTCCAGAAGCTCTCCAGAAGCCAGAAATTGAGGGTCAGGGTCTGACAGAAGCAGCCCGCTGGAACTCCAAAGAGAACCTTTTGGCTGGACCCAGTGAGAATGACCCCAACCTGTTTGTTGCCCTCTATGATTTTGTGGCCAGTGGTGACAACACTTTAAGCATTACTAAAGGTAAGAGGGTGGGGGCAATGAATGAAGGATTTATAAAAATACTTATATATAAGTTTTGTTTTGTTTTGTTTTTTTTTGGGGGGGGGTTCCATTTAGCAAATAGTAATAATTACAAAGCAGTATTTGTGAAGGTAGAAAGAAAAGGATTTCATACAAAAGTTTGCTAGTGGAAATGAACCAGGCAAGCTAAGCACCTTATTAAACTCCAGGTCACAAGGGCACTACAAGGAAGGAAATAATCCTGACCATTACCCAATTTTTGTAAGAGTAACTCTAGTTTAGAATGAGTCAGATCAGTTTCTGAAAAAGGCTTGGTTGAGTTTGTAATCTAAACCAACACACATCTATTAAATTTGAGTGGGATGTAACTTACAAAATGATCTCTACTGGAGATTGCTGAAGTCTATACGATTCTTACCATTGCTGGGAATCCACTTATTAGTGTCCCGTCTCCTTCCCGTTCTGCCTTCGCTCCCATCTGACTCTCACTTCCTGACAATGGCCTCACACTTGGGTCGTTTTCCACTGAAGCGATTGTAAAACAATGCTGCAGACACAGACAAACAGAGGAAGGAAGAATGGATCTTAAGCACAGGAATAAACAAGAAAATGTCCTCTACAGTGCTGCCTTCCAGCTTGTTATAATGGTGCAAAGATTAGGTCTGTTTACTTTGGCTGTTTATTGCCAAATAACAAAGATTACACAATTATTTAATTTAAAAGCAAAATTAGGCCACCATCATTATTTAATTGTGTATGGGTTTTTTTTATGTCTTTTATGTTGTGTATATGAATAGTTTATTCTCAAAATGTTTTCATATTATGGTGTCTTCAGGATAAGTTGCATTTTATTTGGATAGCACCTTTCAAGATAAACATCACAAAGTGCTTCACAACTAAATGCCAGGTCATGAGAACAAAAGTTAACCAAACCCAAGTCTTAAAAGATGAGTTTTTAGCTGGTTTTTGAAAGAGATTAGCAAATCCACAGATCTCAGGGTCACAGGGAGAGTCTGGGGGCCACTTTTGCAAAAGCTCTGTCTATGAATGTAAAAGTCAAATAAAGCTCTAAAAGCCAAAATCAGAATCTTAAATTGGACTCTGAGGTTAATAGAGAGTCAGTGTAAGTGAATTGGCAACAGTGTGATCGGAGTACTTAGAAGACTCAACCAGAAGTCTTGTAGGGGTGTTCCAAACAACTTTGAGACATTCCGAGGAGTTTTTGCAACTATTGAATAATTAATTACAATATTCCAGACATGATATAATAATGTTGACTTTCTATGTTGACTAGGGGAGAAGCTGCGTGTGCTGGGTTACAATCATAACGGCGAGTGGTGTGAAGCACAGACCAAGAATGGCCAAGGTTGGGTGCCGTCCAACTACATCACCCCAGTCAACAGCCTGGAGAAGCACAGCTGGTACCATGGACCCGTGTCACGGAACGCGGCAGAGTACCTGCTCAGCTCGGGCATCAACGGGAGCTTTCTGGTCCGTGAAAGCGAAAGCAGCCCCGGTCAGAGGTCCATTTCTCTGCGGTATGAGGGGAGAGTGTACCATTACAGGATTAACACTGCGTCTGATGGCAAGGTGGGTATCAGCGGAGAGAAAGAGTCACACGATAAGAAAGTATTTATGTTTTTGTCTTTTTTTGTTTTTTTTAAATGGGTTCTTTACAAGCACTTTTCCAACTTACTCCATGTCTCTAAGTGGTTGTTTTCTCACATGCTTTCACAATAGTTGGTACTTGGATGGTTCATCTGTATCTGACTGGCCAGCACGTCTTGGTAATCAGGTAGTGCTAACAGTGTGTTCATGATAGTTTTTAAATGTGTGTTCTTGCAACACATTCAAAACTCTAGCTCAGTGTTTTTAAGTTTTTAATTAATTAACGACACACACACACACACACCAGCAAGCCACAATAGGCCAATCCCTGTGTGATGTCATTTAATTTAGTAAGTGTATTTTTATAGTGTGCTGCGTTCTTGCCAAAAATATCTATAGGAAGTAATCGTTTAACTTACTTGCACATATTGTTCATATTGTTGTCTCCTTGAGTATCACAGCATTACCAACTCACATACACTCACTCTAATACGCACTAAATGCTGCCTTCCTGTCTTGCCTTACGGGCACTGTACAAGTCAAATTAAATCAAATATTTTTAATGGCATATTTAAAATCACACAAAATACAATTGTATAATTTAATACCATTTCCACCGTCATTCCGGCCGAAGAATGATGGAAAACCAGTGGGGACAAGAAGGCCTATTATTTATATTGGCTAGCAGTGGCAACAGTGCTGCAGGTATAATTGCACCAGCACAAAGAAAGGATTTGAATTTGATTTGAAACAACCTCCTGCTTGCACAATCCACTGTCACACTAGTCTTACTCTTAAGTTTTAAATGTGGAGTGTCTCTAGAGGGGAAAAAAAGATGAAAGAGATTTGTTTTAATTCGTGCTTGATTTAATTTTATTCAAGACTAAAGACCTACAAGTTTTACATGTTTCTGTACTTCTAATTGTAACATTTTGCTTAAATCCTTTGAAGTTGAGGCTGGCCAACAACTTAAAAGAGGTTTATTTTAAGAACTTTAAAAATGCAGACTACCAGTATTTAATGTTCATGGCAGATCCACGTAGGTGGCTGAATTTCTTGAGTGGGATTCCCCCCTCCTCCCCTTAAAGGCTATATCGGTCGAGAAGCCACTTTTGGCCGTGTCACCCTGCTGTTTGTGATGGAGCGAGGTGAACTAGGTTTAGGAACGCCAGCTATGAGAAGAATGCCTCTAACTGCCACTGTGCTTCTCATAATGACCAGCAGACGCGAGGCCTGGCCAGACACTGACGCCCATGCAAAGACATGCATTAGCACAGATGCAGCCAAGTATGCACACACATACAAAGAAGCGAATGGACAAACACAGACGCTCTCTCTCTCTCTCTCACACACACACACATACATACACTTGGTTCCCCATCGCATATTGTTTTCCATCCTCCCACTGAGCTACAAGTCAAGCGTCTGGTATGATAGAGTTCGCCAATAATTTGAAATTACCTCAGCACTCCCTGGAGCTGCAGGTTTTGTTTTAACACTGCTCTGAATAGAGAAAAAAAAAGAAAAAAGATTTTCATGTTGGTAAGCTCTTTTTTTCTTTCCCCTCCTAGATTTAGTAAATGGTCATGGTTTAAACCATTAAATCGTCTTGAGGTTTCTGCGGACTCTTCACCGCAGTCAAGGTTGTTCTCTTTCTTTCCTTTTTTCCTCCCTCCACAGGCCTTAGGCAAAGAGCCTATTCACAAGAATAAAAGAAGGCAGAAGTCACATTGTGGAACAAAAATCAGTTTTTGTTCTGAAAAGGCTAGAAAATCTGTCCACTTTGTTCTGTCCAGTATCCTTCCACCTGCCAAATACTGTACGAGCCTCTAATAGGCTAAGAAAATCTAATCTCTAATCTCTTGCATCCACTCAAATATAGAATCTCTCTTCCCCCACCCCCCTACAGCTTTACGTCTCATCTGACAGCCGTTTCAACACACTGGCCGAGCTGGTGCACCACCATTCCACCGTGGCCGACGGCCTCATCACGACACTGCACTACCCAGCGCCGAAGCGTAACAAGCCCACCATCTATGGAGTTTCTCCCAACTACGATAAGTGGGAGATGGAGCGCACTGACATTACCATGAAGCACAAACTAGGAGGGGGCCAGTATGGGGAAGTGTACGAAGGCGTTTGGAAGAAGTACAACCTCACCGTGGCTGTCAAGACGCTAAAGGTACGGAGACAGAGAAGATTAGCATCCACCTACTCATGTGGAAACATTTTGACAACTACTGGTGTTACATATTAACATTCCAAGCTATGGTTTTAATTTGGCTGAATAATGCTACCATCTGGTGTAGCACAGATGCAACTGCACCCAGCCATCCTTTGCTGTCCTCACTTTCTTTTTTCTTTCTTTCTTTCTTTCTTTCTTTCTTTCTTTCTTTCCATAAACTGTGTAGGAGGATACGATGGAGGTGGAGGAGTTTCTGAAGGAGGCTGCGGTTATGAAAGAGATCAAACACCCTAACCTGGTGCAGCTGTTAGGTATGTGACTAAAAACAACAATCATTGCTTTAATGTGGGGGTTTTACATAAACACTGTTTAAATGTAACACATGTACGCAAAATCTTCTGCTAGAAATGATGTATTTTGTTTTTAGTGGCTCCATAGTGTAGATGTGTACACGTGTTTGCCTAACAAGCCAGGAGGAGAGATGGTTCACTTTGGGGTTGCATCTGGAATAAAAACTGCACCCAAGAAAAGCTGTGAGATGATGATTTGTGTTGCGGGACTCGTGTTTTTGGCAGGCGTGTGCACACGGGAGCCCCCGTTCTACATCATCACAGAGTTCATGACCCACGGTAACCTGCTGGACTACCTGAGGGAGTGCAACAGAGAGGAGGTCAATGCTGTGGTGCTGCTACACATGGCCACACAGATCTCCTCTGCCATGGAATACCTGGAGAAAAAAAACTTTATACACAGGTGGGTTTGAAGGCCTAAAAAGCAAACTTGCTAACCTGTCCTGGGTTTATAAGACAGATGTTTTTTTTATTGTTTTTTTTTTTACCCATCTTCAGTTTTAAGCTGGAAGAGACAAAAAACACCTTTGACCTCATATCTCATTTTCTCTTATTTTTCTTTTTTTTCTCCCCTCTCCTTCCTGAGCAGTGCTCCTCTCACACTCTCATTGTATCACAGACAAGTCGATGTTGTAGCAAAGCTTGTTTGTTCTGGCACGTCCAGCCGTATCTTTTGGAAGCGATGATATGATTTATGACTTACATATTTGTGAAACTGGATTTTAAATTTTAAGCCTGACACGACTCAGCTTGCAATTGTAAATTTATTCTTTTTTTTCTTTTTTTCTTTTTTTTTTTTTTTTACCCCACAACTCATCTGTAGAAATATGGCACCTGAGAGTATTCTCTAACAAAACACACCGCTGTTCTGTTGTTTCTTTTCTTTTGGGTTCATATCAGCTTAATAAATTCTCATTTCTCATTTTCAAAGTCAGCATTTCTATACAGCTTCCCATTCATCACTTCCTCTCATAACTGCTTTTTCTTCTGTAGGGACTTGGCAGCTCGTAACTGTCTCGTTGGGGAGAACCACCTGGTGAAGGTTGCAGATTTTGGCCTGAGCAGGCTGATGATTGGAGATACCTACACGGCTCATGCCGGGGCCAAGTTCCCGATCAAGTGGACAGCTCCAGAGAGTCTGGCTTACAACAAGTTCTCGATTAAGTCTGATGTCTGGGGTGAGCTCCTGTCTTTTACTCTGCTGTTAAACAATGTGAAACAAATTTAATTTCCCTCATTCTAATTTGCACATATTCCTCACATGATCTCAATTCGTAGTCTTTAACTTTGTTCTTTTTTGATTTATTGTCTTGTTCAACTTGTTCCTGCAGCATTTGGTGTGCTCCTGTGGGAGATTGCCACATATGGCATGTCTCCTTACCCTGGCATCGACCTGTCCCAGGTCTATGAACTGTTAGAAAAAGACTATCGTATGGATCGACCAGAGGGCTGCCCCGAGAAGGTCTATGAGCTCATGATGGCCTGTGAGTACCACAACCCATCTTGTAAAAACATGATTAAAGGCACGCTTCTGTTTTGGAATAACTTTTTGTTTTCCCTTTCTTTTTGTCAGGTTGGAAGTGGAACCCTTCAGAACGTCCAACTTTTGCTGAAACCCACCAAGCCTTTGAGACCATGTTCCAGGAATCCAGCATCTCTGATGGTCAGTGTCCATTTCTTTTCTGTCTAAAAGCTCTTCAGTTTGGGGCAAACTGTTCTGATACTCCTCAGGCTTGAGTGTGTTACATAGATATCCTGATGTAAACACACTCAAGCCTGTTGTTTGTTGCTAATATGTCCAAACCTTCTTGTATTTGTGATTTCAGAGGTGGAAAAGGAGTTGGGAAAGAAAGGAAAGAAGACATTAGGCTCCATCCAGCAGGCTCCGGAGCTGCCCACCAAGACCAGACCTCGCAAGAGCAACATAGACAGCCGAGATACAGAGAGCCCAGGTGACATGAACTTAAAGAGTATGCCTGGTGCCTTTATTGCTAGTTGTTAAATATACCTTCACACTTTATTTACATTACCCTGAAATAAGTAGTGCAGTATTTGATGCTCACATTCATAATCTTAATAATCGGTAAGAATTAAAGACCACAAAACGTTCTGTGGGTAAAATGAAACAATGTCTCACCACCAATTTCCCTTTGAAGTAAAGACGGTCTGAGCTTTTGACAACCTGCAAGATCAAGTTCTTACTGAATTGTTTGGCTGTAACAACATAATAAGGATTGTTCCCACCAAAGCATTTTTTCTCCAGCTGTGAGGACTTAATTATACATGATCTGCTGTCCTGCCCTTCTCTTTGCCCTGACATTGCTCTAAATATGTTTGGCAGACACACTGGTGGAGCTTGCTTTTGTGCTTTCTTGAAAAAAATTTTTTTTTAGAAAAAAATACAAATAAAAATCTATAGTTGTTTGATTGCCTTTGCTGATAGTCCCCTGGTTCTTTTATGCTCTTCCACAGATCTGTTGGAATCGGAGGGGGCTGTGTCGTCACCCATGCTCCCCAGGAAAGAGCGCCCCCTCCTGGACAGCAACCTGAATGAGGACGATCGCTTGCTGCCCAAGGACAAGGACAAGACACGTGGCTTTCTCAGCCTCATCAAGAAAAAGAAAAAGAGTGCGCCAACTCCTCCCACACGCAGCTCCTCTTTTAAAGGAGACTGCCTCTCTGACAGGAGGTGCGTTACTCAAGATCCTCGAGACAGTGACATCTTTAACAACGGGGCATCATTGGGCATTAATGACGCCATACATGGCCTCCACAGTACGAATAATAATGGAGCAGCAGGTATAACTAATGGGGCTCCTACCTACCCAGTACCTTTTTGCCCTAGAAAGAAGTTACCTCTTGTAGTGACTAGCCCAGGTGGAAAGGGAGCAACAACTCCACCTAGTGAGGAGGAACCCTTTTCTAACTCTAGGTTTTTCTGGCCCATGCCCACTGGCTCAGATGGCACAGAATGTAAGTCTGTCACACTGCCGCGAGATCTGAGCCATCGCCGCTTCGACACAGGCACCGTCGGGGGCAAGCCAGCTCTGCCACGAAAGCAGCAGAAAGGAGAGAATGCGCCACGGATGGGCACCCTGACTCCCCCACCACGCCTGAATACATCTCCAGATATTTCATCCACCTTCTTAGGCAGAGATAATGATCTCAGTCCTGGTTCCAGTCCCAAGGCTTTGACACCTAAGGTGGTGAAGAGACCCAGTGTGTCAGGGCCAGAAAGCTCCAAGACCAGCGCTCTGCATGCCGAGCTTCTGAAGCCCAATGTGTTCCCTCCTATGGGAGCAGCTGGAGAAGAATGCAGGGCTCGCAGAAACAAGCACACGGAGTTCTCCTCCAGCAGGGATCGAGTAAAAATACAGAAACCCAAGCCAGCCCCACCTCCACCACCCACTAATGCAAAAACGGGCAAGGTCTCCCGCAGCCCCACTCAAGAGCTCCCCTCCCCGACTGCTTCAGAAATCAAAGCTAAGTGCCTCCCTTCCATCTCAGATCCCCACCACACAGCCACTCCCAGTGACCAAGCCCGCTTACCCCTGAGTGAGGCCTCCAAGAAGCTGCCCTTGGGCTCCACCTCTAAACCTCAACCGTTAAAGACCTCCACCTCTTCCACTTCAGTAACCAGCTCCCCCTCCAGCCAGAGCCTTGGAGGTTTGTCTTCTCCCCTCACCTCCCCCAACGATCCAAATTCACCTACTGCATTCACCCCTCTAGCGAAAACCCGATCCTCCCTCCGCAAGACTGCACCCCGCCAGGCCTCCGAGCGCACTCCAAACTCAGCCGTGACACGTGAAATGGTGCTGGAGGGCACTGAGCTGCTCCGCGCCGCCATTTCCCGCAACTCCGAGCAAACGGGTAGCCACAGCGCCGTGCTGGAGGCCGGCAAGAACCTGTCAAAGTACTGCGTGAGCTATGTTGACTCCATTCAGCAGATGAGGAACAAGTTTGCCTTTCGCGAGGCCATCAACAAGCTTGAGAGCAGCTTGCGAGAGCTTCAGATCTGCCCCAATGCCACGGGGGGCTCGAGTGCACAGCAGGACTTCAGCAAGCTGCTGTCCTCCGTCAAAGAGATCAGTGACATTGTTCAGAGGTAGCGCCTAGAATATGACGCTATCAGACATAAAAATGATAACATTTTATGTTACACTACCCCCCCCCCCTCCCCCCTCCATGCATGTGGGCCAACTGTTACCCAGGCCCAGCTCATGCTGGAGAGCAGCAGAGGTGGAGGTTCACACATACTCTAGTATGTTCTGAAACACTTAAGCATGTGGTTACTCCGGACTGAATCAAAGAAAGCTTTATGTAGATGCCATCAGACAGTCTGTAACATTGAAAAGCCTTAACTATGAATAAACACTGTCATTTGGCCTTCACATGAGGCGAGGGGCCAAATCTTTCATCAACGTAACCTTTCATGGTTGATTTTTCTTTTTGAAATGATCAAGTCTTATGTTTTTGGTTTCTTCCCTTTATCACTGACTCGAGTATTAAAAGAAAAGACCTGTGATAATTGTTTCCATCACTGTGTTTCATTTTTTTTAATCATTAATGCTGACAACAGTGAACAAAAACAAAAATGCTTAACCTCATCTTGTAGTTTGCCTTTGTAACACAAATGCCATTTTTAAATGTAAGCGTTAAGGAACTTCTCTTCTCACAGTGTTTGTAAGACTCTGTGTTTTGTCCCACATGCCCCTACATTTTCTTGTTTTTTTTAATGCCATCAATGTCTGGTTGTGTGCTGAGTGATGGAATTGTGTCAGTGTTTTTGTATGAATGCTCTTCTGCAGTATTTGCAACCACGTGCCATAATGTTATAATGGGAGCGAGCAAATGAGGCAGGATGAGCCTCTAGCCTTCACAGTTCTGCTTTTCTGCACACTTGGGTAACAATTAGTGCCTTAAACACTTACCGGCAGAGCTGTTCTTACTCTTGACACTTTACAAGTGCAGAAACATGCTTTTATCAAGTGGTTGAGAATGGCTGTTTTTAGGCGTGTTTCTTGGATTTCCATGTCTGCCATACCAAAAAAAACCAAAAACCTTTGTTTCCAGTCTATACTGGGAGAGGGACCAGGGTTCTCAGTGGATCTGTTGATTTGCATTGTCCTTAGACTGGACTTCTTTTTACTAAACAAGTTTGATTCAACTTTCACTACATGTCATAAAAGCCATCAGTAGCAGACTGGCCCCACAGCAGCACGCTGTCTGATCTGTTAGGAGGGGGTAACAGACTGAAACAGCGTTTCCGACTCTGACGGGCCTTCCTCGCATGTTCGAATGGTCCGAATGCTGTTTTGAGGCCTTTTCACCCCAGAGGAAAAAAAATCCTGGGGGAAACACTGGACTAAAATGTTTATGGAGCTATCACTTGCTGTGCTACAAAATGATGTGAGGAGGTGACCAATACGGACTGAAAGAACTCGTCAGATTTCACTTTCACCACGTTCTTTCCTCACTTGCATCTCTCGCACAGTGTCAGTATTTGTGTTGTCGTGTCATCCCCGTGTGCCCCATCTGACTGCGATGCCTGAGGACAAAAATCAACTGCTAGTTGCCTTGACTTCAACATGGTACTGTCAGTGTTGGCTTCTTTTAAAAAAAAAAAAAAAAAAGGACAAAACTTCCTGTACCAACCATACCACTACTCGAATTTTGTGTCCAAGCCTCCTCGCCAATTTTGTACACAAACTTTCACTTGTAAATGTCGCCCCCCCTTTCTCCCCTTGGTGCAATTTTCGTTGCAATAAAAAACAAAGCAGTTGTGCTACTTGAAATACATTGTGTACGGCTTATTTGGTCATTTTGGCTGTGAAGTGAAAGAAATGATCTTTCAGAAACCATTTGACTTTTCTCTCCCACCTAAAATGGTTAGAGTATGATAACATCTAGGTAGAGCTTTTTCTTGTCACTGCAAAATTTCAGTGTCATGTGCTAACACGATACCTCCAGCACAAACTGGAACGGTGTGATGCTCTTTGCTTGTAGTAGACAGGATATTAAAAGTGCTCTTCTCATTTGCTGCCACAGATTTAAAAAAAAAAAAAAAAGGACACAGCAACAGGTTATGTATAATTTATTTTTTTCTGTCTAGAGTATTTTTTTCATTAAAATCAAAATGTCAACATTTTAAAATCATATACACGCAAGAGAACGCATTTAAATGTTAGCACAGCTCCTTAAAAATTTATACATATGTACGTTTCTTTTTGTACTTAGACAAAAGCAGGAAGTGGTCACTCAAACTGCAGAACAGGTGAGGGACACAGGAAAAAAAAAATAAAATAAAAGGAAGACCCGGCTGGCCCACTTCCCACGATAACAAAGCAATCCCCCACTCCCCAAAAGAGTTAAGACAGCGATGCAGCCCCTCCCATACAGAGGAGCGATGAAGGGGTGGAAAAAGAAAACAGAATATAAACAGAGTGCCCCACTCTCCGCTCCGTTACAGATATAAGAATCAAGGCAGACATAAATAGTTTGCGCATCATCTCAATCCGCTTCCTCACCCCTCAACCACTCGGCAGGTTCAGTAGTGTGCAGACGGGGTGATGGGGGAGGGTGTCTAGTTATCCGTCCTTTACATACATTTATTAATAGAAACTATGTTACAGAATTTTTCCCAAGCATGAATTACAGGCAACCCACTAGCACACCAACTGTACAGAAATTGGCAGAGCGACCAAATAAATTTCTAAATTCAAAGTACAGTAGCGAGGTCATCACCAGTAGTTAAGAAGCAATATATACAGCTGTCCAATCGGGGAAACACTATGGTACAAATATTCGTACTTGAAAAAGGAGACATTTTTTTTCTTTTGTCATGTTTCGGGGGGCACACTGCTTGGTGTCGCTTTATAGGAGGCAGAAGAAATGGGCTCTTTAGTGTGGCTTTGTTGATTATACAGGAGGGACGAGTATATTTTTCCACTTAAACAGTCGGGACTTTGCTCCTAATACTTGGCCATTTAAGATACTGTGACCGTGCCGACTACCTCAAGTACTTCAGTTATTTGTTTCAGTAAAATGTGACAATGAATCTAAAAGAGCTGATTTATTGAATCGAATTGAATTCAGAGAGCAGTGTGAAGAGCAAGTGCAGCAAAACAAAGATTCCAGAGTAATAACATTAATAATAAGGCAACAAACAATGACAAAGAAAATGCTGGTAAAGACAATCTTGTTATACGTGACGTGAGGGAGAGTTTGGGTGTGAAATGGGAGATAAAGAAGAAGAGCTGGTGCAAAATAAAAAAAATCTTTGTGTGACAAAAACAAAAAAAAACACAGACAAGCTGGAAAACACCCAATATTCCATGTAATAACTCAGTGGAGAGGCCCGGGGAATAATCCACAAAGAATTTCTGGGTAATTCCTAGTTTTCTAGACCCCCCCCCCTCGTTCTTTCTGAGAATATCAGCATTGCCACATCTGGCAAAGGACTGTGCCAAAGCAGAGAAAGCAGAATTTAAAAGACACAGGCAGGTTTGAATCGAGACCGCTGGAAAAAGCTCCCTCAACTACACATTCCTGGACGTGTGCTTAAGAGCGTCTACCCGTGTGGCTGCTTGATACATGACTTCATCACCATTGCGTTCTGCTCCCAAGCAAATAAGCACGAGTGAGATATCACATTTGCGTGTGCTGATAAAATACAGGAAATGTAACCCATGCAGGGGAGGCGGACTCTGGGAATATAATTTAGTTCCAACTGATTGGTGGTGAATGAAACTTAACGCAGTGTTTACATTTCGCATATAGCTATAAAATCCAACATAAAAAAAACAGTCTTGCTTTATTCATTATCGTATGAACATTACATCTATCTAAAGTGTCAGTGACCTGTGTAATGTGTGGTGGATTCTATGATACTATGATGGAGGGAACTAGGCTGAATGGTGTGAGAGGTTTGTGGGGGGGTGGAAGAAGAAGAGTTATCGGATGACAATACACTGATCGAGATTAAAGAGGAGGAGGAAGAGGAGGAGAAGGGGGAGATGTAGTCCACAAAGCCCAGCTCAGCCTGGCCCAAGTCGATATTCACCCCCCTCTGTTCCTTCCCTCCGCAGCCCTGCTCTCACGCAGCACCTGGTGCAGTGGGATGGGGTGTGAATGCACGGAGGTGGTGGATGGAATGGAGGGGATTGGCAGGACAGGAAAGGGGGTGGGGGGTGGGACAGACAGACAGTGGGAGAAATGGGGCAAAGGGGCTTTTTGCTTGGTCATTAGCAGCCGCAGCCTTCCCTCTGGGGCTGTGGTTCGTTTGTTATCCGGCCGCCCTGAGGGGCCGAGGGCTTATGCTGAACCCCCGACTCGGCAGCATTCAGGTCCAGGCTGCCATCTTGGATATTCTGGTAGATCTTCTTAGCAGCTTCCAGGAAGGCGTCCTCAACGTTTTCACCTCTGAAAACAGACAGGGCATACACACAAATGTGAGCTACACAGAAGACGGCTGATCGGATCTTGTTCTGCAGGAACTGGAAAGGTGTAGTTGTGCAGACTTACGTTTTTGCGCTGGCTTCCAAGAACAACAAACCTGTTCAACATAAAACAGACACAATGACTGAGTCACTAAAACACAGCGCCAAGTGTGCACACCTCAAATACCAAGTCATCATTCACCCCCTCTTTTAATTAATATTGCTCCATTTCTCCTAGAATTTACTGTCCCACCAAAGTAAACAGAAAGATGTTAATCTTGGCTTTGCCCCCCCCCCCCTTTTTTTTTTTTTTTTTTTTTTTTTTAAATAGAGTTCAAATCAAAACCATCTTAGAGACAGATCACAGAAAACTCATTTTAGTGTCAATATTTGTGGACATTTTGTTAAGAATCCCGTGAATATTATCCTGTTGAAAGTTATTCTTAGACAGATGTAAATGGCTAAAATTGCCTCCCACTGAAACCTTTTTCCACCATAACCTCCCAGCATGCACTGGTTGACGTCTCGCTCACCGTTCTCCTCGGCAAACTGCTTCGCTTCCTCATACGTAACATCCCTCTGGGCCTCCAAGTCGGCTTTATTTCCTATGAGAATGATCACCTAATGATAAACACAAGGGAAGAGAGTGTGAGACGATCCCCTGGACACTTTGTCTGGGAGAAATTTGCTGTCTAATCCTTTGAGAGATAATAAAGCCAAGGGCAATCCAGGAAGACTCCACTACGTTGCTGAGCTAATTTTAAGATATTGATTGAGAGAACGTGTGCTCAACAGGATCCTTAGTAACTGCGATGTAATTAGAGATTTACTGAACTTCTTTCTAAAAGAGTGACAAAATGACTAAACCAAAACTGCTGCACACCACCTTTTACATGCCAATTTCTTTTGCTTTTACTGCAGAATTGTTCAGCACTAGGGCTAATACCGGCAATATTAGGCAATGATAAGAAAATGAAATATCGCGATAGAATATGGCTAAAATGCGCATGCGCAGTGCCTTTGTTTTCATACACACGTGGGAGGGAAAAGCGGATCGTTGAATGAAACAGCTGAACCACAATTGGTTTGTAAAAATGCTGCAACTTCAGTGGTTATGAACTAGTTTGGCTTTCGTCCATCAGATACACACCAAAGCACAATTTTTGGTGGAGCATGCTAGCGGGCAGTCGTTATTACCGTGTTTTTCAGAAAACAAGGCACACTTAAAACCAATCCTTTAATTTTCTGAAAAATCGGCAGTGCCCCTTATAATCCGGTGCACCTTATGTATGAATTCTGGTTGTGCTTACTGACCTCGAACCAATTTTATGTGGTACACGGCGCTCAACAATCTGTCAAAAAATGTTTTAGTACGACTTTCATAAGCTACGAAGCCGCACCGCTTGATGGATTGTCGGAGCATTAAGGCTATCGTAGGCAGGAGCCTCGCGGAGTGATACGTACGGTGCTTCAACATAATATTACCGTACTGTGTGTGTATAACTTTAAGTGAAAATACATTGATGGGGGGTTTTTTGCACTAATAAAGTTGTGGAGTTGTAAAGTATTTTGTCTCGCGTCAATTATATCGTCTAAAACCAAGACAGGCAGATGTTGGGAGTTGGGGCAGATGCTGTGACAACACCAACAGTGCCACCACTTTGTGCTAAAGTATTTAAAATTGGCAAACAGCAGTTCTATTTCACAGCTCAGCGTAGTTTTGGCTTTTGCTTTTGGAAGATGTACAGTCATCACTGCCCACAGTGCTATGTGCACTGAACACTCATTTGTGATTTGACGCTCTCCTCTCTGGTATGCATGCAAACAAGATCAGAAACCACCTGTCAGTGGAGTCAGATCTGCCCGTTTCACAACATTAACACAAGTTTAGAAGAATCCTCATCTTTACAGCTCAGATGAAACACATTTAACCTATTAGACTGATCAAAATTATTCTAATCTGTTATAAATATATTAAGGATAGCTGTATATACTGTTTAGGGACATGAAAACAAATTCTTTGATTTCTTTCCCTCAACCTGAGGCCTTTTCTGTGAAGCACATTCTGTTTCATAGTAAAAGCCTCAGGTTTATCTCCAGTCTTTTTAGTGTTTAGAAGTGGGGTCACTTCCCAGGATACATCACCATGGTAACTTATGCTGAAGTTTATATTAGATAAGAGATCAACTTGTACAGAAATCAGCGCCCGCTCACCAATCAGTCCTCTGAAAAAAAATACATTATAATTCCTAGAAGATCCGGTGGATCTTTGTAAGAAAGTGGGTTTTTGGGTTGTTTTTTTTCTTAGGGACCGTCTAAAGATTTTGTCTCTTTGTGACAAGCATCAAAATAAATAAACAAAAAGAAAATGGATGGCTGCAAGCAATGTTACACATGCAAGAAACTTAATTAAAAAAAACAAAAAACAAACATGTATTAGTATAGCAATATCACCCCTAACCCTTCAACTTGTTGATTGCATATAAAATTAATTATGAATAATAATTATTATTGATTTATAGGATTTTATTTCTTCTTTACTTGCCATCTTCTTTCACACTGGCTCTAAAAGAGCCTAGTCACACTGAATTTAATTATAAATACTGTCAGATGTTCCGATGAGTTAAAGATGGGGCATTACTCAAACGTATGTAACTAAAAAAATTTGGGGGGCAATTTCCATGCTGGCTTTAAATAAGTTATGTAGCACAGTGTCACTAACTGCAGTGCTGTATGGCACTTTAATACTCCTATTCATACTGTATTCTTTCACACACTGGCTGCAGAAGCTCTGCTCAGAACATTGAGCATCATGTGTTTAACTTCTTCAGATTTATCTAACATTACAGTTTGCTCTCTGTTAGTAAAATAATTCAGCTCTGATACCAGTAAACCTCTGTGTTTGTGACTGATCACATGCTGCCAACACTGCCTCTATGTTTGTGTTCACAACTAAACTAGGTAAAAGTCTATGTTGACTTTAAGTTGATAACCAGATTTGTGTAAATGTTTAGCAGGATTAATAATATTGGTGTAGCTTGATGGATTCACTTCATAGTAAAAGTCCCAGATTTAACAACTTCAAAGTGTTCAGATTCTGTTAAAGTGGACTGTGCCAGAAAGAAACCAAAAACTTAATACTGTTCATATTAGCTTAGTAAAGTTTACTTGTACTCGTCATTAAAATGAGCAGTGGATAACACAGCTTCATACAAAGCCTGTGTATAGTTGTGACTGGATATACAGAAACATCCCTTTTTGCTTTCTGCCATCTAAAATGTGAACAGGAAGTGTCATGTTGCACAAACACTTCCCTGATGGAACACAGACCTCTGAGAGTGAGAGCAGGAAGGTTTAGAGCTAATCATATTTACCAAGAAAAACCTATTTAAGAAATGGACAGGGCTGAGTGGCTCCAAAAAGACTAACAGGAGGATGACAAAGGGATAAACAGCATAGCGACAACTTAAAGCAATTAAAAGAAGAGAAATCAATGCAGAAAGAGAGTGCAGAGACGAGGCTGTGGAGACACGTGTGCAGCTTAAGACAATCATTAATTTCAGTGCGTGTACTCACAGTATTGGGGTTGGTGAGGTTTCTGGCATCAGTCAGCCAGCTGCTGAGATGGTTGTACGTGCTTCTCCTGTTTGACATCAGAGGGACAGAGGTTACTATGACGACAAGCAAAGACATAACATCCTGCCATGAGGATGGATTTGAAAAGAGGCAGCAGCTGCCATATAATACAGGCAACAATAACCATGGAGGAAATCATCTGGGAGTTATGGATACATCTGGAAGTGATACTGCTTTCTCCAGATCATAAGTATAAACTTTATTTATATCAACAGCTTCCTGTGCCTGACGATGCAGCTACCAACTCCAATGCCACATTATCCAAGTTACAGCCTCATTTCCATTTTCCAATAAATGAACCAGTCCTCAATTTTATTTTGAGCCATCAAGTTAACAAATTCAGACGCTCTGAAGTCTGCTCACAAGATTTCAGGCAGGTTACGAGACAGACAATTCTGCATTGGTTTCTTGACCTCCAGAGACCCGAGCTCTTGTTCCTGGTACATTTTTAATTTCTCCTAGTTAGTGGTTAACACATTTGTCTTGCATGCAAAAGATTTGGGCACAAATGTAGCCCAGCGGTGACAAGCTACTCCATGTGGATAAATAGGTGGGTTGCATCAGAAAGGGCATCCGGCGTAAATTTAGATATCTGTGCAAAATCAAATATGTGAATCCATCCACTAGTGGTGACCCTTTGGGAAATAAGTGAGCAGCTCAGGGTAACTCAGTCAAAGTAACTCTTTTTGGCTGTGATTAGTTGGACTGATAAGTATATAAACTAAACTTTGCCTTCAAAAGGGAAGTGATCACTTTGTTACAGAGTAATTACAAAGAAAAACATGTCTTCATATGGTAAATGGACTGGTTCTGATATAGCAGTTTTTGACTGAGCACTCAGAGCACATTATACAACGCTCCTAATTCACCCATTTACACCTATTCATGTAATAATGAATGCATCCATCTAACCTGGATATTGCACACCAAAGGATATTTGCCTTGCAGCAGTGATCGAACCACCAACCTTCAGATTAGCAGATGACCTGCTCTGAGCTAGAGCCACCCCATATAGGGACAATGAGTTTATTCAACAGCAGAAACACAGTGAACTGAACAGTTCACTGTGTTTCTGCTCAGTGTCTTAAAGTACTGAGCAGAAAAAAGGGGAAGTGCAGGAAAGCTCAAATATAATGAGTCTGAGTCTGGAGGTTAAAAGAAATAATTTGAATGTTACTTATCCAACACAACCTACTGTCTACACTGGTGTGGCCCATGTTAATAACAAATGTATACATAAAAACAGAAGAATGCAAATGAAAGCCACATCTTTTCATTAAAGGATATGGTTATAGTTAGGTGTATAGTCACAGCAACCATAGATGACAGAGAAAACACTGCGTTGGCACTCATTTAGCCCTAGAGGCCATACTGGAGGTGGTTGCAGTTTGGACAGACATTCCACATGTTCAGCTGTGTTTGCTTGGCATACCACTGATACCATCTAACAGTTTGGGTAAGAAGGTCAGTCGCATGCAGTAACATAAACTATTTGTATTTGTTCAGGAGTAGGTGTGCTGGGATGAACGGTGCGGTTATCAAATGTTCATGCTTTCCTTTAACTTCCTCTTTCTGCACAATGCACTATATGGCTATTGTGTACACTAGGGCTGCACGATTTTGCATAAAATGAGAATCACGATTTTTTTGCTTAGAATTGAGATCCCGATTCTCTCACGCTTTTCTTTTCCAGTATAAATATTTATTGCGCTTATTAACTGCACATCAACTTCGTAACAGTTGAGACTGAACATAAAAACAATAAACATAAAAACAACAAATGTCTCACATTTTGTCGTTGCCGCAAAATGTTGTACTGCTTGAAATTCCGTCTCCACCGTTGCTTCGACGCTGCGTGTATAGAGCAGGTAGTGCAACAATAGAAAAAGAGTTGCGGGACGGCACTGTGTAGTGTTTGTCTAGGGTGTTGATCATTTTCCTAAATCCCTCGTTTTGCACAGTGTTGATGGGAGCCATATCTTTGGTCAGGTGATAAGTGATAGCCTCCGTAATTTCTTTGTGCCTGCGGGAGTTTGACGTGTATAGGGAAGCGCTGTATAAGGTTCCCGTTATTGATGTTTGGGTGGTTGACCGGGACGGATTTTCTCCTGTCACTTTCTCGTCATCCCTGACGTGTTCTCCGTTGTTTTTTCCCTGCTAATTTTAGCAGCCAGCTCCTGTATTACGTGGTATAAGGCTCCGCTCTTGTCATTTGTTGAGCAGGAAGAGTGAGCGCTTGTTTTCATGCAGATTACGTCCCGGATCAAAATGCGGTACAATCGTCGTCGTCTCTCGTTTTTTTTAAAAAAAAAAAATCGTTGTCATTTGGAAATGAGATCGCACATAAGTATGAATTGAGATCGCGATTTTCTAATGATTAAATCGTGCAGCTCTAGTGTACACTGTCAAAGCTTCTGTGTTAAGCGGTGACCATGACTGCATCAATACATAACAAGCACGCTCTACCTGGTGATGTCGTAGACCATAAGCGCCCCTGCGGCCCCGCGGTAGTAGGAGCGGGTGACGGCCCTGAAGCGCTCTTGTCCTGCTGTGTCCCAGATCTGGAGCTTGATCTTCTGCCCACTTACTTCGATTATCCTCGTACCAAACTCCACGCCAATAGTATGAGGGCAGTCAGCCATGACTGGGGAGAATAAGTATGTCAATGAATTCTACTGTTGCCCTTACTAATGTTTTTGTATTTCAAGTCTTTCTTCTGTCATCCATTTTGTGAACTTTAACAAAACACGTGCCTAGTTTGAACTTAAAATTACGTAGTAACAAACATTATTCAATATGTATAGGTCACACATAGCCAACTTGTTCCTACTGTACGGCAGCAGCAGTTGCATCAATAATTAATCGCAGTCTTTAAAGTCATCACTTTGTCTAAACTGCAAACACTCTTGATGTATCAATTTGTTTGAAACTGCCACTGAAACCCTCTTCTACATCACTCCAGTGTGTGTATGTGTGTGTGCACTGGTGTATGGGTGCAGGCAGGATGCGATTGTGGACAAGTGAATGAGTAACACAGCATCTGGCTTGTTAATAGTAGCACTAAACAACTGAGCTGAATGGTAATGGGAGGCTGCAGCTGGCTCATACACAGAAGAAGAGACTCTCACTGTTGAGCTCACACTCCACATCTATGCTGCTGACTTCCGCTGGTGTATAAAAGAAATCCAAAGAGATTTAGGCACTCCAGTTAAACCTGGCAAATCTCACATGCACTGGGGCACACGCAGAGATGAAAAGGAGTCAAAAGAAGAAGAAGAAAAAAAAAAAAAAAAAAAGCAGGGCAGCACTTACATTTCTTTTCTGTGAACTGGTGAAGCAAACATGACTTCCCTACCCCCATGTCCCCTGTGGAGAGAAACTCAGGTCAACCAAGGAAATAACAGAAGAACAACAGTTCTCTATTCAAGCCTGAAGTGTTGCCCCCATGCATGATGCAGCAGACCCTCAGTGACAGTCAACAACTACACTTAAAATTTCATGTGGACTTAATGAGAGAGACAGACGGGGATAGATGCACTTGAGTGTATGTGGTCCTGCAGATTTTGACAATAAATGTTTTTTATTGTCGAAAAACATTTTCTCACTAATGGTACATCTATATTATGCTTTGATTAAGTCTGAAGTACTTTTGCACTTCAAAATACCCCCAATAAATTTGCTGTGAACAATATCATACACCTAAGTCATATAAAACTTACTAAAAATACTTCTTAAATTCCAGCTGCGCGTCATGTAGCTGGAGTCGAGTGTTTTAACCGATGCATGAAACTATACATTTTTAGACATAAGTTGTAAAGGCCGCCGTTTTCTTTGTGAGTATTTATTACACGGCGTGCTGCAGGGAAAAGCCTGTTCTAACGTTTGAGTCTAAGGTTTATTTTTTAGCACCTGGCGGCTCTTTTTTACTTCTCATCCGTAAATAATCTGCTCTTTCACGTGATTCAATTTATTTTGAAAAGTCTCAACAGGATCTTGAGCGTTATTGTGAAAGGTGTATGTGGAACATAAACAAGCAGACACGCGATGCTGTTACCGTCATTATTGCTAACCACAACGCATAAAAACAGGCGCTTGTCCATCCGTAGTGTGGTTATATAAAATATAAGAGAAAGAGAGAACTTTAAGAAATTAATATAGCCACAACAGTGACCATCAAAACGATGAAAAATATTGACATAAACAGTTTATTTTGCGACACCACGAAACAAACAATAGCGTAAAATGAAACGATAGACGTTTTTATATCGTCATCCGATATATATATATATCGTTATATCGAACAGCCCTATGCCAGAACACCCCCTTGTTAGAAGTACTCAGTTATGTTACCGTCAAAAATGGACTAATATGACATACGCTGGACCCACTCAAAGCCACCATGTAATGGAAGTACAATTAATGTGCAGTTTGTGAGAAGTGCCATCAATATTGGTCACTAGAGAGCCTCCAAACTGCTGGCAATTGGTACTGATCACTTACCGATAATGATGTATTTGAAAATGTAGGAGTAGTTGTACGGTGCGGTGGCCATTGTGGCTCTGAAAGAGGAAAAGCAGAAGAACAGTTTAGCCACTTAAACCTTTAACAGAGAAAAGCAACTTTTCCTTGAAAGAGGTCAATACATGTAGATTATAATCATTTGACTTTTACAGTCAGTTTCCCTGAACACTTCCACTAATCTTCCACTCAGATCAGCAAGAGGTTTACTAATCTGGTAAGGTTTTGACTCCATATAAATAAACTGCACATGATGTAATGAATAAGAAAAGACAAAGACAATTAAGCATGGACAGCTCTTTCTCACACCTTCTGCACTTTATGCAAAAACAACACGATGTGTGGATATAAATCAAACAAGTCCTGTAGTAACAGTAATGGAGCCACTTACTGTTTAATGACTGTGTTACATGTGTGATTACTGATCTCCAGTAAAAGCTGTACAAATTCCAGCGAGTAGTTACAGGATTAGCATAGTCCTGAAGTGAAGGTTCAGACAGCTGAGAAGGCCGATTACATTCATGACCAAAAGGACTAACTACACAAAAGCTTCAAGAACACAAACAAATTTAACTCATCAGCAATTGAACATGGATTTTTTTCAATGTTGTTTTTTGTTTCTAATATGAAGGGAAAAACCTGCCAAACACAATTTTGGCACCAAGCATAAAAGGTACTGATCTTCCTCCAAAGTAAATTTACCAGAACTGTGATTTACATTAAATTGGTTTAGGTTTATTCAAAAGACTTTAAATAATAAATGCTATAAATAATGCTTTGAATAAATTGTGTTTATCAAATGGACAAACATAACATGAAAATCCCTATACTCTAATTGTACATAAAGCAACCAGAGGGTACATTTCCATGCATGAACTATCCAACAATACTTTTTACTAGATGGAGGGATATTAAACTAGCAGGTGATATGATTCAAATACTTAGCAAAAGTCTTGTACCACTGCTCATTTCCTTTATATTAAATTTCCAAGGAAGTTTCCAGTGTTATTATTTTATTTTTTTTTAAGTAGTGTTAAGCAGTAGTTCTGCAGGCTTTCTGAAGGTCTTTTAAAGTTTTTCTTTGGACACTTGCTGCCGAGGCCTGGTCATGTTTGAGGCTTCATTATAGCCAGTGGTGCTGGTGATCTTGCCCAAATTGACAGAATTATGAATGCAGAAAAGTACTGTCACATTTAAAAAATAAATAAATAAATAAATAATACGGTCTGCGCCAGTCTGCAACACCCTTACTACAGAAAATCACAAATATACTTCAGAGTACTCATATCTACGACAACCTTTGAAGGGTGAGACCAGAGAGGTGATGGATCTTTTTTAACAGTGTTAGAGCTTTTCAGTTATTAGAAAGACTTTCAAGAAGGAATCCCATTACCTTCCTGTCTCAATCTCACTTCTGAGAAGGCTCTTTCAGACTTTCACTCCTTTCCATTAATCTGACAACATCACACACGCACACACCTCTTAGCAGAAATGATGCAGAGAACTAAAGGTGTGGTCGTTTGATTCCACAGTTGCTGCTGACAGTGCTCATTTCCAACAGCGCAAAAGACCTGCTGCATGGGAGGCATAGCACTGAAGCAACTGCGGATGCTTCAGTGTTCACAATCAAACCAGAATTACAACAATTATATTACAACTAGGTCCATTAATAGGCATTGTTAGGATCTATAAATACCAAATACTGATAACAGTAATTACCGCTTATAAACACTACTCACCATATTGTGGTAAAATAAAGAAATACCAGCAGCTGGCTTACCAGTGATTTTTAAAATCTTAATTACTAGTAAGTAAAGTAGTAAGAAGGTATGAGGGTGTCAGTCGTTAATTTTTTTTTTTTTAAACAATCAATTTTGGTATAAAATTCCTTTAACACTAAGGCTAGGCAAGAAAAGAAAAAACCAACAACCTTGCCACGTTATTTTTTTTTTCCTTTCACCAGATTATATTCATGATTATTGATATCAACCACAATATAAATGAAATCACTGTTTTTCAAGCTTAATTTTAATTAATTTAGATGTAAACACTTTTTTTGTCAAAACTTCAACAAATTCACTGTAGAATGTTATACGGGTGTCTGTGTTTATGAATAATATTAAACAAAAGGCACGAGAAGTATAGTACTGCCTCTGAGGGGCAGCAAGACTCGTACATGGATCAGATGTGCGACTTGACCACAAATGTGATGTGGTCACCAAGCTGTGTCTCTACGCTCTGTGTGTGGTTGGCAAAGTGAGAACTGTTTATGCCCAGGGAGTTGGTGACAAGGGTCAATTACTTGAATCAGTTGGTTACATCTGAAAATTTCAACTGTGCTTACTGGCATCATGACTTTTACAATACAGGTTGGTTGTTGCATCAGTGATGTCTGCGTTACTCTGTATTTTGTCGTAAGGCGTGGTATAGGAGAAAGTTCTGGGACTGTCGTCTTGTGCTGTGCAGGTAAATGGTCAACTGTGCACATGGCAAAACGATACTTGCCTTTGTAAAAACATGTTTTTGACACATTTTCCAGTGTATGCTACTTTTCTTTCTTGTCAAACTTTAAAAAGCCAAAAATAAATAGCCAACCTCCACACCACTGAACTCTTTGGACCCTCAAATATACATCCTATCCTATATCATATCCTCATCTGTTGGGCCTTGGGCCAAGTCTGTCAGGTTGTTATGTTCTATAACGCTATTACTCAAGTTTGAACATTTTGTGTTGTCATTTTGTCTCATCTCATTTACAAACCTAATGTACTGTTGTGTACTTCTCATATGCTATTTGCATGAACCTAACGTGATGCGGCTGTTCCAACCACACAACTGGCTCAGCGCAGTGATATTCTCATTCTCACCTTTCGTGTTATCTGTCAAAACATGGATGGAATGAATTCTATACTGATCTCGTATTTCTATGAAGGAGAATTATTTTGCGATAGTTACCTTAATTACTGCTGTACAGTAGGGCTGAACGATATATCGCATTTGCGATAATATCGCGACATGATCAAGTGCAATTTTCTAACCGCAAAGGCTGCGATTATACTCTGGACATGTCCAAATTCATGGGCTGCATCCTCCTGAGGCCGCATTTGTAGACCGATTACGTCACAGCGACGCGCCGAAGGCTGTCCAAATTACTACCATATCCCAGAATTCATAGCGCGGCCCAGCCAAACTCCAGTTTCCAGCAATGGCGGCCGCTACTAAGTTTTAAAATTACTCATACTAATCTTTCTGGGTCACAAAATAAACTTTTAACATATTTTCAGGCGAGAAAGTAGTTGTGTAAACATCAAATATCTGCTCGGTTTATCAAGATATCCCATATTTGCAAAAGTGCTTCGACGTTTTCAGAGGCGTCTGCTACCCACCAGCTCGATAGCGAGCCGGGAGCTCGAGGGTTACTGATGCGGCCGAGAACGGCACAACTCCCGGCACATCATTTTCAGATCACCGCGGAGTTTCGCTGCTCGGGTTAAACGTAATATATAAGTCACTTAGACAACCTAAAAATGTTATTGTTGGGCTTTTTTCAGTGTTTTGTTTGTTCGTGAGTAAATCGGTTTGGCTGAGATTAAAGTTATTAGATTAGATAAAATAAAACTTTATTAATCCCCCGGGTGGGTTCCTCCTTGGTTTTCACACAGCTGACTAAACGTCAAACAGAAAACTGATTAAACAGAAGTATGAGACAGTCGAGAATTTACACCAGTGTCTGGTTATATTTTAGATAGCAAGAAGCAGACGGCCGAATTTATTAAACTCCACCGAGACAGCGGTGACGCTAATCAGAACTAGTCAGAAGGCTAGACCGTCCAATTTCACGCCTTTAAGTTTTAAATGCGTGTTTGTGTGTGTGTGTTTATACAATTGCTATTATGTTTGCACTTTATGTGTAATGTTACTGACTGCAGAGATCAGTAAGATGTGTGTATTTTTTATTTATTAGTTTTATTTATTTTATATTATTTTTTTAATTGAATGACTGTCTAGTAGTTCACAGATGTCGAAAAACTGAGTGTGGTAAAGCCACTGATTTTTTTTATGTATATTTCTGCAATCTGCACATTGTACTGACTTTCATTTTAATGTTTACACCAGGGTTCCTTGTCAGCACTTTATGCTCAGATGTTTGTAAGCTAAAAATAAACTATTGTGTATGTTCAAATATACTGTTGTGATTGAAGAAGTTAAATAAAAATGTCAGTCATCAATTCATGCATCACCTCATGTCATCATAACAGAGGTCTGTCTTCCAGGAAAGAACAGTTTAAAATTAATGTAATATAGTATTGGCCATACTATATGATGTATTGCTTGTCTTTGTTTAATAATACAGAAGACAAAGACCTTAAAAAATAATCGCATATCGCATCGCAATCGCAATATTGGGGCAAAAAAATCGCAATTAGATTATTTTCCATAATCGTTCAGCCCTACTGTACAGTATTAAATCGAGATGCTGCTGTACACAATTGACTGCTGCAGGAGTAGTAAATAATTCAGACTTAATCAAAAGAATAATCATTCAGCAGACAAATGATTTCTCTGTAACTTGCAAAGATAATCTGCCTTAAACCAGTGTCATTCTCACATGAAGTTCAAAGGAAACTATACTGCAGTCAGAGCAGTTCCTAGAAACCGAAATCACAGTGCCCGAGCACAACACAATGCTGGTTTTACGCACGTACTTCTACATCTGCAGATTGGTGACCAAATTTGATTGGTCAGCTTAATTTAAACTCAATCGTTAGAAATGCATGTAGCAAGAGAAAAAGTGGAAATCGAAAAAGCAAATAAATGGAAAAATACAGACAGCAAAAGAAGAAAAAAGTGCAAGAAACAGAATAAAAAAATTGAGTACATGGTTGAAATAAAGACATAAGACGCTGCAGGCTACTTAACTGAGGTTGAATCAGATAAAAATATCAATTAAACTTTAGCTTTTATAACAGTAAAAACAATGTTGGGTCACAAACCCTCATGTTTACACACTCATATTGACTCGAGCTTTGACTGAGGAAAAAAACTAGAAATGTGACAACTGAAAACAAGACAGAAATATAGGTGTACAAAGACAAATTAAAACTAGACAGCTAACAATGTAGTAGTTGTATTTCCCTTAATTAATAAGAGCAAAAGTTCCTGAGTGTTATATTTTCAAGAGATTTAAACAACTCTTAGCGCTAGCAGTGCCTTTGTTTCTGTGGGTGGTCCAAGAAAAGATTTGGCACAGTCTTCTGCAACTTGACCTGTGCTTTAGTGTTTAATCACACCACCAACAAGCAGCTAACTACAGCAAAAAAATAATAATATATATATATATATATATATATAAAAAAAAAAATGTATGCATAAACTTGCTATTTATAAATGCCCGTATTCTATCCAGGTACCAGACTTGGGGTTGCTCCATAGAAGCAATAAATTACACAGTACCTTTTCATTCGCTCACTATTCACATAAGTGAAGAACCTTTGTAATGAAATTAACAATATAACTGTAACTGTAAAGTGATTACTGAATTTAGTACAATAACACATTATGTTACTACATTACCAAAAACGTAATCTGTAATCACTGGTGGATACCTACATTATTTCTACATTGTGGTACATTAGGGGCAGGGATAGCTCAGTAGGTAGAGTGGTGGCCCCATGATCGGAAGGTCGGGGGTTCGATTCCCCTGAACAGCTACCCTGAGGTACCCCTGAGCAAGGTACCGTCCCTACACACTGCTCCCCGGGCGCCCAATGGCTGGCTACTGCTTCACTGAGTGAATGGGTTAAATGCAGAGAGGGATTTTCCCCACGGGGACCAATAAAGTACACTTTCTTCATTATCGAGTCTGAAATCGTCGTGAAAAATCACAAACACAGTAGACACAATGTATGTTTACATTTCATTAATACCTACAGTGTGATTCATGTGGGTAAAGACAAAACATAACATTACACTTATGCTCCGCACCATGATTTAGTATAGGACCTTGTAGCTGTCACACCTCACTACCATCCTTTTAACTCCCAACATATTGTTTCACACACTCTTTTTCTAGGCTCTCTGCTGTCACATGACCCTCATGTGGTCTCTCTAGCTCCAAAGTGATGGCCTGTTGATTTTGCACAATCCCCAGAAAGAGCAAAAGTAAAATGTGACTTGGCTGTGACATTCGACTTCATTTTACACCCTTTTTTCCTCCCACCGCTACACATGGCATAGAAATAAACCCCATGAGTATCAGTAGAGACCATGTGACCAGACTGCAGCCTCAGCACTTCTCCTTTCCTGAAGCTTTCTCTAGAGAAACAGGGACACTGCCTTTCTTCCTCTCAACAGACATTCCCCATAGAGGCAAAGAGATGATGTGATTTCAGGAAATCATGACACATATAGTCACACTGTCTCCGTGATGTTCAGACCCACCACTCAAATCACGTGACTAAAAAGAACGTGATACCCCATAGCTATTATATACACTCTTGAAGGACGCTACCGCGATACAAAAATGAGGGACGTGTTTACATGCTTACAGTAAAACAAAAAACTAAATATTAAGTAACGCGGTAATAATTTAAGATAATGTCCACTAACACACAGTGCACTAACACCAGAAACAGAAATGATGCAGCACTTTAAATGTCGACGAAGGCAAAGCTATCCAAATCTCGACCATACAAAAGTTACCATCGCTAACTTAATGACCAATTTTATTTATTTATTTTAAATCGTGTATGCCTGCTCTTTGGAAAAAGGACACCCAAATAAGAAGCTAATACACTACCGGCTAAGGGATTAGCATTGCAGTACAGGAAAAAAAAATCGCTTTATTACAGTTATTCCTACACAAAAAAAAGGAATTAGACGGGCCAGTCAAATCCATCGTCAAACCCGACTTGGATATCGGAGGTTGACCCTTCAATATGGAACCCTAACGAAATGCCTGTTTCTTACCGACGGCGACTAGCTTAACGTTAGCTTGACAACCGGCAAAAATGACAGCGTCGCTATGACTAAATCTCTGAGATTAGATTCCATGCGTGAAAAAAAAAAAAAAAAAAAGAGTGCTGCTACGAAGCGGAAATGGATATAAAACCTGATACTGACTTGAACAGACATTTAGATAGCAAATTCAGATAAATATACGGCCTTAAATTGGATGTTTTGACAAACAAGTTTGCGTTAGCTAGTCACTTGCTAGCTGACAGAGACGGATAACAACAAATCCCATAAATCAAAGCACATAAGCCACCTGCCCTCATCGCCACACAAACAGCTGATTTAAATGCATTATTGAGTTAAAAACAGGTTCAGAAACGCAACCTGGCCTGAGCCCAATTTCATGAAAAATGCCTCAATACACTGAACTAACGAAAGCTAGCGACAGTTTTAGCAGGCTAGTTTGTCAGCTAATGGCAAACACGTAAAGCGTTACCTTGTTATTTCAAGCAAACCAAGCCCTTTGTCGTAAACAGTAGCATTTTTTCCATAACCGTTTAATATGTGATGCCTCACAATATTGGACTTAGAACCCAACCTTGCATTAGTCATCTGTTAGCTACCATCGTTAGCTTTCCACCTAGCTGACTCCTGGAAAACACAAGAAAGCTTAACACTTCAAAGGGTTTCTTCGTTTAAATATCAGTTTCTCTACGTTTATTACACATTACACGGGCGTCTATGAGTGCAATCAAATACCCCCCCTTCTTCTGTCCTTACCAGATATTAAGTCTTTTGCGCTTTGAGCTGTTCACAGGAGGTATGCAGGTTATCCTGGCTCAAGTATGATCTGTCTATCCAAGATGGCTGCTCACGGCACAGGGTTTCCTCCGCTCTATACAATGGGCTTCTGGGACAAAGAGCCTCGTATGCGGCGATTTGCAACTTATGCACTGCCTCCTCGAAGGTAATCACCTTCACAGGTGTATTCTTGCAAAGGTTACTACTCTCGTAAACTGCTTAACAGGGAGCAATCGTCATGTCACACTATGAAATAATCACTTTGGTGAAATCATGAGCCACTATAAGAGGGAAAGTTCAAAATTTTAGCAAGCTTCATCTGCCACCTGAGAGGTTTAGGCTTGTGGAGTACGCTCAAATGCATCTGTTCAGCACATGTTAAAAGAGTTACAACAGCACCATCAGCACACAGCAACACAAAACAATACTAGAACTCCATCGAGGGGCATCGCTAAGATCTTGAAACACTGTGGACTTAGCCCAACCATGAAATCATTTGATTTTCACTGGAAACAGTGGCTTAAATATATTCTTACAATATGCTTACTATATATTTTATAGTAAAGTTAATATAAAATGTCAGACACTGTGCTTCACCCTTATAACAATTGGCAATGTTACCAGCGAATGGCCTCCAAAACCCTAAAACTGCACAACACAGGCCTTCACATCCTTTCACAGCAGAGTTTGCAAGCCTATCCAAATCTATCTATTTAGACATATAACACTGGCCTCAAAAATGTACCATAAGTAGGGGCTCTAAAAATACGTAAATTTGATAGATGCACAAAAAATAGAAGAGTAAAATAAAATAAAAATTGGATAAGAAAATAATTCAGCAAGATGCATGTTTTTCTTCTTTCATGTGATCTTTGCTCTGATTTTTTTGTTTTGTAGATGACAGTTTGTGTCAAATAAAACATGTGCTATAATTATATATTATCACAATATATGTAAACATATAACTCTCCTACCCGAGCATCCTTCAGTTTTTTTAAGACAGCTGTCAATATACTAGGTGAACTGTTTTGTTGTTTGCGCTGGGTATGGTAAATGGACAGGTTCTTAAGCACGTCATACAACATGCCTTATTCACTCATTCATTCAAGCACTTTTTTTGCTATGCGTAAGTGCTTCTGTCCAACATTCTGACACATTCACACTCTGATGGATGCATCAGAGAGCAAGTTGTGGTTCGTCTCTTGCCCAAGGATATTTGGCATGCAGACTGGAGGGATCAAACCACCAAACTTCCCATTAGTAAATGACCTGCTCTACCTCCTTTTTTGCTCTTTTAATTTTTGCTCTGATTATTCTGATCAGCACAATGGTGCAGTGGATGGCACTGTGGCATCACAACAAGAAGGTCCTGCGTTTGAATCCAGCAGCTGACTTGGGCCTTTCAGTGAGGAGTTTGCATGTTCTCACCTTGCTTCCGTGGGTTCTCTTTGGGTACGTCGACTTCCTCCCACAGTCCAAAGACAGGGTGAATGTAACAAGTAGAAGAAAATGGTTTGACGCAAGTTCAGACTATATGCACAAAAATAAACTACCAAAGTTCAAACCCATTTTCTTTTGAAAAATATCAAACATTTTAATATGTTTTCCACAATATTACATGCTGTCACTGAACAATTTTTTTTTTACAAACATAGAGAGAAGAACCACATGCAGTGTGCGTTCCCAACTAATAATAACATTATAAAACAATTCAATATGAATAGCCTGTGAGTTCACAGAGGACACCACACAAAAATGTTATCTTAAAAATGATAGTGAACACTTTAACCAAGGAAGGAAATGACTGTCTTCCTGTACAAGTGAATTCAACTGAAGTCAGTGTGTTACTGCTTTGCTCATATAAAGTGTCATTACTCACTTCCATAATATTCCATACTTTAAGGTACAGTAAGTGGATGTGGACATAAATTCACTGATGGCTGCAAGCTGCTTCACCATTATTTTTTATTTACAAGGTTATTTTTGCCACCCCTCTGACTGTAAGTCCAAGCAATGTGAACACCACAATTTAAAGGTGCATACCAATAAAGCCATACTGAGCAAAAATCCCCCAATTCAGTCATACACATGAGCAGCTATGAAAAGAGGCCACTGATTTTATGTTTCTCTTGAGAGTTATTTCACATCACAACCACATCCTTAGCAGTAAGAGGGTGAGCAGTGCACAGATATAGTGGAGTGTGCTGGGATGCCAGAAGGGGGTGCTGTTACATAGGTCTGAGCCACAACAGTGGATTCGCACCCCTGGCAGTTCTTGTTGCTGGCAGTGTCTGGATGTAGCGCAACCACTTGTCAGGACGATACCCAGGGCCGCTGCAGGGACAGAAGGGAGAGACAGGCAGTCAGTCAGTCAGATAAGAGTGATTAGCTGGTGTTTGGCTCAGCAGGAAAAAAAGCAAAAGTAAGCATTAAATACTCCAAGTGTATAATGAGGAAGACATTTAGAGATCTCCACGGGATATGCCTACACAGCTGAGAAAGAGTACATTTTGTAGTCGTGAATAAAAACATCATCACAGTTTGGAATCTGGCATATATGTGGTGTATTATTTGATAATAACTAAGAAAATACTTATGTTCTTAAATATGCACAAATACTCCAAGATGTTTGCCCCAAAATTCTGACTATAACTAATTTAATAGCGTTACACAATTAAAATGTAAAATGTTACATTTGATGGAATCTGGTCAAGTGAAATTTACTTGACTCGTATTACATTGTCATGGTTCCTGGGTCGACGATCCAGTGCTTTGAGATTTGTGGAGTCAAGGTTTATTTTGAGGATTTAAGAAGTGATTTAAGTTTGAGGTCTAAATTATTTCTTCCTTTGTTTTGTTTCCCAGCACTTTTGAGTTTTGTTATGTTTCTAGTTCTGTTCCTTGGTTGATGTTAGTAGCCTACCTCTGTGTGTCTCTGTCTGGTCTCCCTCTTTACTTGTGTCAAGTTAGTCTTTCATCTCAGTTAGTCACGTCTCTGTGTTTGTTTACCATTTTGTCTGTGTCAAGTTTGTATGTCTTTGTCTCTGTCTCATTGTTATGTTTCCTGTTTTATTTTGACAGTCCCTCGTTTTGCTTCCTCCTATCTCAGATTCAGTTCAGCTGTGTCACCTGGTGTCTCCACTTTGCCTTATTACTGCCTGTGTGTACTTAAGTGCTCCGTTTTCGTCATTTCCCAATCTTGTTGTTGTCAGTCCTCTGCATTTTAGTCTGTTCCCAGCCTACCGCACAGCTACCCTTTGGCATATATTCAGTTTATACCAAGCACATTTTCCTTAAAGATTAAATATTTGAACGAATAAGCCTTTGATTCAAGATTCAAGGTTCTTTATTCGTCACATGCATAGTTATACAAGTATAACATGCAGTGAAATGTAACCACATGCAGTGAAATGTAACCTAAATGTAACTGAAATTTTATATATTTCAGTTTCATTTTACTCAAAGTGTTTGCTTTATCTATTTTGAAGGTGAAAAAAAGTCCTTCTTGAAAGCGTCAAACAAAAAATTGTAAGCTGTCAGGATTTTTGTTACTTGTAATCTGCTCAGGGACTTTATTTGGTATGCACCTCAACCACTTTGCCTTGAGGGTCCCAAAGGTTGTTTTTTTTTAGGCATTTTATATATGTTTTTAATTCAAAATGTATTGATGCATATTTTTAGTTTGCTAGTTCTTCTGATCAGCAATGCATTTTCAGCATTTCTTTCATTTCTCACTCATCACCTTCTTGATTAGCACCAGTCAACATCTCTTAAAAGACAAAAAGCAAACTAACTTCCCCAGATGGCGAAGCAGTTGTTATTTATCTAAACGCAAACAGAGTGATCACGTCGGAGATCAGTCGGGGCAGCATGAAAAGATTAACCTGGCTAATAGTCAATCTGCTGTTTAAATACTAAAACATGCTTCAACTAGGGGTTAACTGTCTTTGCATATGTTGAATGCTAATTAATAACAAGCATTACGGTGTCTCCTGAAAGTTGTGGCTTACAGTAAGTGAGCACTATCAAATTTTGGCAACGATGATGTTTTTTAACAGTTAAATTACTTCAGCACTCATTTTAATATCACACAATAACAATATTGGATATTTTCCTCTTCTTTATTTCTGTTATAACTCAGAGGAAGGAACACCGAACTTGTTGGGGGTTAAGGGCAGATGTCTTGGGGATATGAGGATAAAGGGCACCAAAAAATCTAAGACTCTTACAGAACTTCAGGAGCATCTGTTTGATTTGCTTTGGACGGGGTCACAGGAAGATTAGCAGCCTGTCCAGCCCCATTTTACTACCAAGACACAGCTACAAGATTCTGACAAAATGCCTGTCATACTGTGTCTGTCAGGCTGTTATCAGAGCTTGTCTGAGCTTGCTGTTTCTCTGAGCCAATGGAAAAAGGTGCCTCATCAGGCTTTTGGGTAGGAGAGGTTTCTTCAGATGTCAAGCAAAAAACAAAAAATCAAAAACGGAACAAAACAAAAAAGGTCTGAATTGCCCACACTTCTACGAATGTATCCATTTTACCATCAACACCCAGTTTGCCTTAACATGAAACAATGAATGAGTTACAATTTGGTCAGCAAAGCACACTACAGCAGAGTTATGTAACTATCCTCTGTGCTGGGACAAGTCAAATATTCACATCAGCGAACAAAGAACATTTACATGAAAGTATGATTAAAAACGATTACGCCAATGTCCAGCGGTACGCTAGAGTCAATTCGTCATGATTTTATAATCTGCTACCCCATAAATATTCTCCAAAGAAATATCACGCACAAGCGCATTAACTCACTGTGTTAAAGGATAAAGAGAAAAGGAAGATAATCATTAAGCACTCACTGCTCTCTGTCTTGATGCAGAAACGATGTTTGAAGCCTTTGTGAGAGTGGGGGCAGGTGATGACCTCTGGGTTGGAGCAGCCCACGTCAACATACCTCTGGCCCTGGATGATGTTACAGCCATAGCACTGCAGACTATGGACTGCAAGGAAAGCATAGAACAATAAATACAGTGTTTGAGTGCTTTACTAGTACTGAGATCATGGGGAAAATGTACTGATAGAAGAGCTATTATTATGGAATTAAATTGCTTAGATGATGGAAGAGCGTATTAGTCTTATCAGCTCACACATATTGTGTGTGTGGCATCCAGAGAACCCAGTGTTTTTACTGGTAGACCTACTTAGCACCATCACCATATGCTCTTATTGTTATTTTTGTGGTTTCAAAATGTCACTTATATATAAAAAGGAAGATGTGAATAGATTTGAAAATAATATGCTTATCTGTCTAAATTATACTCCTGTACTGTACTGTGTGGAAAACAGTACAGAAGTGGAAGAAAGGTGGACAGTATTACTTTTCATGGTAGTTACATGCATTTGTCAACCCTTTGATTATCATAACACAGTTTCATCCCTGAGAGAATTCAGATTTATGAATGTCTGACACATTGAACTTTGCTCTTGGTGCATGACGTCATTGGATTTCTTGGCTTCCTGTTGTTTACTAATCTATTATAAACTAAGTCCGCTGAGTTGGTTTGAATATTAGCTAAACATAACTGCCAGGCCTTTTTATTTTAAAGGCTGTTCGATCCTGAATGCATAAGAACCACCTTCAGTGTTAGCAGTGGTGATATTTTTACTTTAACTAGCATCCAAATCTACACAAGTGACATCTTCACTGACTCTGATTTGTATGTTCTATCTTTATGGGAGTTGTAATGATGCATTTGCATTCATTTAAACTGAAAATGAGCAAAATTTAAACCAATTCTTCACTTCAAGCACTAGCTAACGTGTTATTTCATGAGATGCATGCGACCAAGATTCCTACATAACGCTTGTGATCTCTTAGTCAAGTCTACCATTCAACTGACTAAAAGTAGTGGAAGTTATAACAAAGAAGGCATGGGGTAAAAACATGGCATGGGGTAAAACAACATTAGGTTGTGCTATTTATTTTGCATTTTTAACTGACACATAAGAATGAGAGATTTATCAGTAAACATAATCAGCTTTCAGAATGAGTTCACATACTAAAGGGTGGAGCTGGTGGGTGGGGCTCACTGAAGTGTAACAAATAGCAAGGCCCTTTAGTTTGACACACACAGAAGTTACATCCAGTAACCTTTTGTGGGAACATTTCTCCACAGTTGTTGCTCCCACACTGAGACATTTTAATAATTAATTGTACTTTATCCATGATTAATAAGAAATTATTTTTTACAGCTATTGCAGTTTTTTTTTTTTAATCAACTGAGGGTTATATAAAAAATGCTCTGGCCCCACCACCACTTATGTTACTAAAAGAGAAGCTGCCACTGATTTTATCGAGCTTGTCCAGGATTCTGCTGCAAGGATATTAATGAAAATCAATAACAGGGAGCACATCAGTCCAGTCATAGCAAAGCCACACTGACTCCCAGTATCCTATGGAGCTGATTTTAGAATACTCGTACTTGTATGTAAAATCTTTAATGGTCTTGGATCATCTTACATGTCTGACACTTTATGTCCCAACTTGCCCTCCTAGATCCTCCTCTGTCAAATTGTTAGGTATCCAACTCTTCAAAGAGAAAAGTTTAAGCCCTAAACTCTTGATCAGCCTACCTCAAAATATAGGGAGTGCAGAATTATTAGGCAAGTTGTATTTTTGAGGAATAATGTTATTATTGAACAACAACCATGTTCTCAATGAACCCAAAAAACTCATTAATATCAAAGCTGAATGTTTTTGGAAGTAGTTTTTAGTTTGTTTTTAGTTTAAAAGGAATCCTCTGCAAGATATCTCACTATTTTTGACTTTTCTGAGCCTGTCAAGTCCTTCTTTTGACCCATTTTGCCAAAGGAAAGGACGTTGCCTAATAATTATGCACACCTGATATAGGGTGTTGATGTCATTAGACCACACCCCTTCTCATTACAGAGATGCACATCACCTAATATGCTTAATTGGTAGTAGG